GGATGGCCGAATTCTACTAAACAGCCGTTCATTTCGGCTGGTGAGAGTGTAGACCGCCGAGGATTTGATCTGACACGAACGCACCCTTCAATAATGGCAGCTGCTCTGCACGGCAGACCCATATAAGACCAAACCTCAAATCGTCACATATTTGGGATGCTACCGCCCCGACCACATTATCCATGCCCGGTACTGTTCAGAGGAGAGCTGTCCGACTGATCGATGATTCTTCTCTAATGGACAGTCTCGGGACCATTTCCTGGCCGATACGACTGCACCTTTGACCTTGGGGTATCAAGGTTGTGGAACAATCTATATGAGGATGCTTTTCCCAGTTCTATTAACCTTGGGCAGCTAAAAATCCAGTTAATAAAGTATCTTTAAGCTCCTCATAGCAGCCGTGGTACCCTGGCATTTAGGCTGGCTGCTTGCGCGGCTGCTTCGGTGTAAAAAAATAACCATGATGCTACATTGTATCAAGTGACTAGTTACTAACAGCATATAACATTATTTCTTCTTTTTTTCTTCTTGTGTGATATCTCACTATGTGAGTTTATATTTTCGGATGCCCATTTTCATCGCGCAGACCAAAGCGAAGGTAGTAGAAGGACGTGTGTGGGTAACATCGCCTTTGAATGTCGCGCAGCTTTCCACTTAAGCTTTGCAACTGCAAATAATAATCTAGAACCGGAAAAATTACTCAATCGGAGTAATAAAAAACATGTGTAAGTAGAAAATATTGCCGAACTGTTGTAAGGAAGAAATCATCATTATCATCAAATACCTACTGGCTAAGATTATGTGTTTCGCAGCATAATCAGAGGAAATATATTTCCACCTCCACTGAAAGCAACGCAAGTACAATAGAAAAGACGTAATCGCACCTATTTCTACGTTTATACAGCTTAAGCAACATTATTTAAACAAACCTTATAGCATACAATTAATTGTATTGTTTACTTTTTAGGAGACTGTTAAAACTAGACTTAAAACAGGCGCACGTGCAAGATTTACCCAAATATAAAACTAAAAAATATTTACTTTTAAGACGTACCGATCAGACTTCTGATCATAAGCTACAGAACAGAGGTCATCTCAAACAGCAGTAGTAACAATAGACATTACTTGATATAGTGACGCCACTATAATATTTACTTTGTTTAACTATATTTTTTTTAGTTCCATAGCCGAATAACATAATAGTACCATTTGCGAATTCAGGATTGGACTACAAAACTTTCGACTCTTGTTTGTGCATTTTGTTTTCCTTTGTCATTTTTAAGAAAAAAAATGGTGTCAAGTAGGTTGACTCTACACTTCCCACTCAACGCCGTAATCAGTCCATAAAGGATTGTGTTCAGCACAAGTTAGACCCTATCGAAATAAGACAGCGCCATAGATCTTACATCCTGGATGAAGAGTAGTTTCCATGCGTTCGTTCGTTGTTCCAGAGACCAAGCCTGGATCATGTTGACCCGATTTATCTAATCAAGAAGTGGTTCTGTTGCATAAGCCTGCCAAAATTAGACCAACTGTGCAGGAATGAATCTTCGTTGAAATAGACGATCCTCCCTATATTTCGAACTTAGCTCTGTTCGACTTCAGATTACTGAAAAAAAATCTTAGACGACGTCGATGTGACCCAAATGATGTCCTAAAAGCTTCCGTCGACAACTTTTTTGAGAGTCAAGAGGAAACATTTTTATAAGGGTGTGAGTGGAGAAGAAATGGCGCAAGTGCATGAATCTAAGAGCCGTTTCACACAAGAGAATTACTCCGAAAATTATGGTCATAATTATGCCGAAAATTTTGGCTGTCGTATTACACGTAAAAGAATTCTTGTGAAAATTTTCATGGTAAAAATATAAAACCCGTTCTATAGAATATGCGCGAGAATCGGCGCAGAGGGTTATTTCCGTGCATGTCAATATCAAATGTCAACATCAACAACATAACCTCACTTAACATTTGTGGGTGTGGTCCTGTTCGAGTCGTACGAAGAAGCGTTTATTGTTATTGTTTATTAATACATTCATAATGTCGTGGAATCGGAAAGAAGTTACACTGTTGTTGGAGGAGTACCAAAAATGGCCAAACCTGTACAAGGTGAAGTCACCCAATTACAAAAACAGAAATTTGCGTCAGGCGTTGGATCCGATAGTCCAAGCATTGAGAAGTTTTATAATATTAACTTTCCGATTATATTGGACGTCATACCCGTTAAGGTTATGTCCATTCGAAAATATTACTCTAATGCGCACGCGTATCATATGAATTACTCAGAAATTTTGTTTGCTTGTGTCATACAGGTTGTAGAGAAAATCTTCAATATTTTTTCCATGCAAATTTTCGGCATAATTATGACCATAATTTTCGGAGTAATTCTCTTGTGTGTAAAACGGCTCTAAGGGGGATTATATTGAAAAATAAAATTATCAAACAGATCGCACGTATTTCATGGCTAGGTAGATTACTTTTCTAGTAGCCCTCGTAATTTAACGGTACAAGCAACAAATATACTAAAAATAAGCACTGATAACTGAATATAAAATAAAAAATACAAAATAAAATAACGTATCCAATATCAAACAAAAATCCAGTTCAATAAACTGTTCTTAAAGCCACATCAAGAAACATTTTCGAATTTTCCCTGTGTAGGTATTCTAGTATCGCAGTTCAAATATTAAATATTTTTTCACTCAGATAAGAAGATTTAAAACTAAATTTGAAATATCATCTTAACTATTAAATACACATTTCATATATTATACATAGTATAGTGATCCGCTTTATTCAGAACACAAACATTTCGTAGACTCATCCAGTGATAATGATATCTCTGAAAAGCGGTACGAACCAGTTTCTGGGTCAGTCGATGAATCTGTTCCGTGTCTTATCAGACCTCTGTGACCATAAAATTTGCTATCTGGTTTCAACCGGTTATTATTGACATTTATTCAACTTTCCACATCTCCTTCGAACATTTCTGTATCACTTTGCCCCCTGCAATCAGATACAGGGACACACTGAGGAAAATATTTCGATTTTTTAAACAGATTATCAAGCCGAAATTCCAGGTTTCACGTTATCTCATCTGCGGGTGCAAATTTGGCGGGTTATAAACACAACTTTTGACAATCGAATAGGCGACAAGTACGTCCTTCTAGAAATGATGAAAATGAACCGTCAGAAATAGATGCAAATTGTACAGGGTAATAAAATGTGCTGTATGATTCCAAATTGTCCATTTAAGTCCATTTCATTTCTGTTTTGAATATACCCACGAAAATTCTACTTTTAACAAAAAAGTGCCAGTAGAACAATTTTTAACCAACGGACACAAGAATAAAATTTGAGATACGAGTTCTTGTATTCTGAAACTCACCTTACCAATGTCTTCCTCTGTTTTTAAATGTAGTCGGTGCACCTATAGTGGGAGAGAAATGTATTTACATCTCAGAGGCATAATGACGGTGCCAAAACTTTTAAGGGAGCAATTCAACTCTATGATGACGAAACCAAGAGGTATTTTATTGAAGTATGACAGTACAAAGTGCCATCTATTACCAGAATCTATCTCTTGCGAAAGTGAAAACAGCAAGCTGTCTGTTGGAACTGTATCCCAGTTCACATTGTCAGTCGGGTCATCAGTGTGGCCGCTAGATGCCGCCGATTCTGGTACTATAGTTGATACGGTCTAATCGTCATTGAAGTGTTTTGTTTCCGTCTTTTTTCAACGCTTTCTCACACAAAGAGAAATCATCAGAGAGTTTTCGAAATATAAGTGCAATGTAACTTCTAACTACATATTCTTAAAAATACTTCGAGAAAACGTCAGATAGCTTCAAGTTCAAGAAATCAGCTATTTTACTGCTTCTGCTTTTGAACTCAATCTCTAATTAACTTTTTATTTATTAGGATTTGGGCAACAGTTAAAACTTCTGATATTTATATTTTTTATGCCGAAGCAGCCGCACGGGCAGAAGCATAAATGCCGAGACACCGCGGCTGCTATGAGGATCCCAAAGAAATTTTGTTAGTCCTATTTTTGAACTGTCTAAGATTAGTAGAACTGGGAAAAGCTTCCTCTTCTAGATTGTTCCGCAATCTCGACACCCTCGGGACAAAGGTGCGGTCGTACCGGCCAGTTCTGGATGTAGTGAAATGAAAAAGTTAAAGCAAGTGTCATATAAGTCCGGATCTGTGAAGCAGCATATTAATTGTATATACGTGTCTTTAATTTTAGACCGATAAGGAATAAAAATTATTTATTTTGAAACAAGGCACATGTATGCATCTGAGTATCTTGGAGTACATAAACGTAATGAAAGGAGGAATTTTTTAACTCTAACGAGTCTTTCTCAAAGTAGGCGATAACTCTCAGTTGTGGGTGCTGTAACCTAAGCGGGGGCGGTAAAGAGCCTACAGAAAATTGGATGGCGTGAATTGATTTAGGGGGCGACATAATGGATAAATGTTGTGTCCTTCAATTGTCACAAGGACATTCACCCTCAGGAGTCCCTGAAGATCTTCAATTGTCATAGGAGCATTAATTCTCAGAAGCACTGATATAGAAAACGAGGGTGGTGGCGTGAAAATTAAATAGCGGTGTGGGGACCCTGCTCTTCAATTTTCAGTTGTCGACACCACCCCCGCTCTTCAATATTGTCATAAGGCCTTTCATTCTCAGAAGCACTGATGCAACAGACGACGCATCTCCCTTTCCCCGCTCTTCAATTTTCAAGTGCGCTTCTAAGGCAGTCGGATAAAAAATATATTTCCCTGAAATGTAAACACCAGAATTGTTTTGACGGTTACTTATCAACACTGCACCTTACATTAAGATATCTTCTCCGCCACTGCTTCACCATCTCAAACTATATAAAATTGATGCCATCCATTACTCTCATATTTGATAGTACTCGATCGCTCGAACCAGTGTTTTCTTATCTCCAAGTGAATTGAAAGAAAGTGTTCTCTAAAACGAAGATGTTTTATAGAATGATAGAAGGACCAGCCTTGGTTGACTACCAACCGCCCTTACAGAGGCCTCCGGATCGTTTCGAGTACTTCAGGCCCTTCGAGCCCTTTGAATACCCAGGCAGCATGGAGATGCAAGAAGAACTCGCAGTTCCTTCTTCGCCAAACAGTGTACAGGTGAGTCAAAACAGTCCGGGTTCCAATAAGGCTTGACTTCCAGATTCTTTTTGGGCATAGTTTAATATTCTTGGGGAATCTTCCACATAATTTTGATGCATAGTTAAACACTCAGGGCTGTTGCTTTTTAACAGACTTCAATAATTCTTCCAGTTTCACCGCATCTTTCGGAGATTATGAGTAATAATATAATGTACAATTTCACCGTTCCTTATTTTAAACTTTTGTACCTGTATTTTTGATTGTTTAATTAACGTATACTTGTTATAACTTCTTTCTGCCATATCTGTTCGCAAGCACGTATGATTTTCTTTGATTTGTTACGTTATTGCTTCTTTCTTTAAAATAAAATGAAGAACAATTTAAATATACCGGAGTTTTCTAATTCTTGCATGTCCTTTCATGTAAATTTCTCCAAAAAGAAGTAGTTATACCGCAATTTTGGATCCTACAACCCGCTAAAAAATGTTTTAACTACTTTGTAGAAATAGGCACATATTTGGCTTTTACTTCCTACGCCACAAGGCGAGAAAGTATTATAACCCCAAATAATTTCTGAAACGACATATTGCGTTTTTGGATGTTATATCACGAAAAATTATTTATATAACTCATTTCCGTCGGTCTATTTGTCCCCTAATACTTGGCCCGAAAAAATAAAACAATAAAAATCACTGAACCTTCGTTTTTTGATGTTTCAGAGGCTCCTGATCTTTTTAGAAAAATATTCCTTAGGGGTTGTAAATGTTACGTCTTGAGTATCAGTCAAAGACGGTCATCTATAAAAAGTTATTATCCCGGTAACAACGGGAAAATTAAATGATAAAATAATGTGCTCATAATTCGAAATAACTTCCAATGTCGACACCGACACACCGCTACAGGGGAACATTTTGGAAATATTTGGGTATTAGAAGTCCGTTCCACTTTAGCCTTCCCTAATGCCTTTGTAAATGAACTGCTTTTACACATATATTTTTCTGAATTTTCTGATCTTTAAATGTATCACCCATTTCGCCTAATCTTTAATTTGTGTAGTGCTTCTCTGAATACTTCGTTAAGTAGATTGACTCAGAACTTGTTACGCATTGATATACAAAAATGAGAAACACGGACTTGAGTGATGCAGATATCTTTACGCAACAGAACTGAAGTTCGAATATTACAGCGAGTTCAATACTTCCATCATTTAGGTAGTTGCATATTTTGAAAATTGTCTACGTGGCGGCGGAACTACGTACAAAAAAATGAAAATCGCTGATTTTCAGACATTGGAGAGGTTGAATATTGTAGGTTGGAGATTATATGCGGATAAATGGGTATACATTGTTGCACTTATGGTGTCAGTGAAAAACCTCCTTTCATTAAGAAAATTCTAATGCAGGTGATATTATGCACATGTTATTCATACGTCAAACATGTTTTCACTACATCTGCTGTAGAACCAGAAATATAATATGTTATTCATAATAATTTTATCCATGCAGAGGTCGAAGATTCATCCTACCTAAGTGAGCCTACCTAATCACGATTTGATTTCGCCTTTTGACTCATCCCTGCCCTTGAAACCTTCAATGAAAGCGTAGGAAGTATACTCAATATACTTGACGCCGTTTTTTTAACCACGTACAACGACAGGCTAAAAAATTATATTCAAAATCTAATTGGTACTGTTTAGATTGCTGACATCAATCAACGTAATCGTTTATTATTATTTCCAGAGTGACAGTGATACCTCCATCTCAAGCGTGGAAGTGCCTTCGCAGACGATTCGTTACCCGAAGACATCTTCAGAGGTTGAAGTGCAGTGTCGATGGAGGTCGTGTGGTCTGAGGTTTCCATCATTAGACCAGCTAGCCAATCACGTAGCAAAGGTGCATTCCGCTAGTGGAAGGGGTGGACTATTCTACTGTGGCTGGGAAGGTTGTACGAGGAACGATAAGGGATTCAATGCAAGGTGAGCTAGACCTACGTACTCGATAGATTTCGAGTGTATGTACAGTCTGCAGAAAACAGTAGTTCACCTTTTGATAGCATACCAAGCATGGTTAAAACTGCTTCATAATAAACTAAGCCTAAAATTCTCTTCGGATTCTTGTAAGGGAATATTTGAGCTTTAATTCAGACACTTGTAAAGAGCATTTGGAACAATAGATAGGACCCATACTGTTAAATAAATTGGAAACATATGATGTATCTGGAAAGGTATTGAAATGGTTTTCAGATTATCTGACCAACAGGGTGCAAGTAACTGAGATAAATAATGTTATTTCACCAAGATGGAAAATGGTTTAGTCCTCCCCCAGGGAACTATCGAGGGACCATTCCTTTTCATCTTGTATATAAATGATTTTCCGAGTATACTAAAAAATAATTTAGTTCCATCTTGTCTGTCTGCACTGACTTCTGTAACTGTCGACTATCATTTTTATGATACCAGCATGATTTCCATTTGAACACAACCACGCAGTAGTGTACGAAATCGGTTTTCCATCAAGACCTAACGGAATTCAACAAATTAGATTCGGACATAAAACAACAAAATAGCCTGAAAAATTTTGATCAAAACTGATAACTATGGTAGAATTACAAATTTGATGTTGCACCATATGGTTTGATTTTATATTATTGTATGTATTACATGGTATTACTTACAATTGTTTATTTGTGCTAAATAATTACTACTACTTGATAATATTAGAAATAGTCATTGTCAACCACTCTCAGGCATTGACAATGCTTTTTAGGGTATTTCTGACAAGAAATCTCATATAACTCGGAAACGGTCAATTTATTATATTATAGGCCTTTTTTACTAAGAATGATCCAAAAAACCACCTACCCGGGTATATACTGGAATTTAAGAAAATACTTCAAACGCCTCGTCAATCTCTAGAAGTAAATATAACTGATTCGAAATTTTTTGAAAATCAATATTTTTGAGGTTGCCAAGAGTCTGAATTGAAGTTCAAACCTTACCTTACTGGATGTTAGGCTTAGTTGATTTCAAAGCAATTTTTAACCTTACTTGGAAGGCTAACAAGAGGCAGTTTTCGCAGACTATACATATTTCTCAAAAACGGTACCGCATAGTATTTTTTTTCTTTATATGGCATTAATGATCATAAATATAGCAATAGAAGATCTAAATAAACGTCTGTCGTTTCTAGAATTCACGGTACTTTCTGAGCAGAGTTCGGAACGTGTATGTAAAATTATTTTACGCACAAAATGTCATTAGACCAAAAGCGTTGAGGCTAATCTTGTAATTTTGAGATGTTCATGATTCTTAGCTATAGTTTAAAGTTCCTAAACGACCTTTTCTTGTACAGGTACAAAATGCTAGTACATGTTAGAACACACACCAACGAAAAACCACACAAATGCTTCCAATGTGAAAAATCCTTCTCACGAGCAGAAAACCTGAAAATCCACTCGAGGTCCCATAGCGGCGAAAAACCTTACATCTGCCCAGTACCAGGTTGCAACAAAGCCTACTCAAACTCCAGTGACCGATTTAAGCACACCAGAACGCATCAGGTCGAGAAACCATACCAGTGCAAGGTACCAGGATGCCCGAAAAGGTGAATAAACATGTTTTCTATATTGTTCCAAAATACGTTTTGGTAACTCTATTTGGTATTATTCGAGACTTCAGAATTTCTGAGATCGGTTTTAAATCCAGAGTCATCAAAATAGGTTCAGGGACAAATGAATATCGTCCAAAACATTAAAATGATAAAAATAAAGCTTGTCCTATATTTTAATTTTTTACTTCATTATTTCGCGAGTTCCGGTAATGTCCCCTTTTTGGTGACAATGATTTGTCAGATTAAAAAGGTTGCATTACTTTAGCATTATACGGGGTGCGGTAGCATAATGTCCCTTTGTAAAGTTCGCGTCATTCAGTCGGTTGATGTCGTAGCAGCGCGCTAGTAGTCTCGTTCGAGAGACCGAACTATAAAGTTTTGTCCCGACACAGTTCAGTCGCCATCATGCGTTGAAATCACTTTAATTTAGCTCCGTTAGACTCTGTCCTGGATCTGAAAGCAATACTCATTACGTTTTACACAAATTTTAAGTGCGACAAGACAAAGAACTAAACTCCCTCAAAAAAATTAGACAGTGAGAGCGTCAATGTTGCGATCATCGCGGCGTTTTGCGCGCAAATATGCGTCTGCCCTTGGACTTTCCGATCGTGCTGTTACGAGAATTTTTCATGATGATCCTCATTTCCATCCTTATAAGATGGCAATTGTGCAAGAGCTTTCTGTACATGCCTTTAATTCTTGGATGAACGCGTGTGAGCGACTCCTCGAAGTCTTTCCTGAGGCCGCTATTGTTTTTGTTTTCAATGATGAAGCCCATTTTCATTTGTGTTTGTCCATCAACAAGCAAAACATGCGCTATTGGGCTATCACCAGCCCGCTCTCCCCACTTGCCACCTTGTGATTTTTATTTAAATCCCGCATGTATGTGAACCGTCCATAGACTCTACAAGATTTGAAGACTAACATCCAGGAAGAAATTGACAACATAACGCCTGCTATGCTGGCAAAAGTTATAACAAACGCCAGAAATCGGTTCACTCAGTGCATGGACAATGGGGGACGTCACCTATCTGATTCGATCTTCAAAACTATGTAAAACAAAACTTTAGACATGCGTCTACGTTATAAAAAAACAAATAAAAATGATCTGATTCATAGAATGGGTTTTGATAAGTGTTGAGAAAAAAGAAGTTATTCTGCCGCACCCTACACTACATCTGTGAAATTAAACAAGAAAATCACTAAATAGCTGAATCATCAGGGTCCAGATGATTTATGGTTAAATACATGTTTTGTGCAACTGAACGTGTGAACTAATTCATATCATGTTACAGGTATACAGATCCAAGTTCGCTCAGGAAACACGTGAAGACGTACAAACACTTCGTGAACGAGTCAAAACCCTCTGAATCGACTGCAGTTATCCCAGAACGCGAACAACCACTGAGAGAAGACATCATCAAACATCCCTGCAGCTGCAACAGAATATGTTGCATTGCCAGCTGCATCAACAACACTGCTACAAAAGATTACAACAGTACCGCAACCGACTTGTTCAGTATAAGTACTCTCATAAACTTGAAGAACGAGGAAACAAAATGGAGCGGGTATATGACTGAAAAGGGTGCATCTACTGAGTGGAATGGGTACATGGACCCTTATTACACGGAAAATCAGCCTAGTTCAAGATGGGATGGATATACGGATTCGTACATAACGATGGAAAAGGAAACAACGATGTATATAGAGTGCGATGTGAGACAAGAAGTCATGGATGTTGAAGCACCCTTGGACTTGAGTGTTCATAGGAGAGATTTCTAGTATTACCAGGATATCTAGAATTTGAGAGAAAAATTGTAATAAGCTGTTTCGGAGGGGATATATATCCTTCAGGGCATACGGAAAGGTCCCTCGCCCTCACTTAACAAGATTTTACCGAAAACTAGTCACATGTGTAAAAATTAGTATAATTTATTTACAATAATGCTCTGAATGAAACACGACTGAAGGAAGATGTTATAGTTTGTCCACTATAAAGCCCTGTTGTGTGTTTTTATTATTAATTGTTATTAATTATTATATTAATTGAGACTGAGTAGTTACACCTCCTGTCTATGTTGGTACAGTGAGCAAGAATTGTTGTAAATTGGTGTTTTCAGTATTAGTTGCGTTTGTTATTTTTGTGCTTGTCTTCTTTATAGAAAATGAAAGTTGTGATAGACTTGTGTCTTTATGTATACTTAGCAAAAAAATAAAAGTTTCAATAACTTGTCACGTTAGCTATTTTTCAAAAACTGTATCCATAGTATAATAATAAAAGTATTTCCTGCAAAAAAATGTCGTCGAGTAGATTGACATTAGTGCAGTATTATATAAACAAACGAATCGTAGTGGATTTGCCATTTGAAAACAATTTTCGAACGAATGTTAGGTTGCTTTACTACCTACTATTCATCATACTTTTCCATGCCGATGCGTGGAAGCTTTGTCCTTTACAAAATTCGCAAGTTTAAGTAATGTGATATTATTGATCCATTACTGTTTTGGTTATTCGAATTGCAAAAATTTGACTGCATCGTTTTCTACATCTCGCTTAAAGAAGACTACACCGTGAATACAAGCTAACCATTTATCTTCCTTGATTGCGAGCAAGACTGTGTAGCACATTTTATAGAGGCGCCATGAGTACGATCACGAAACCAGAGAAGATTCAGCTTCAAAAATGAGAGCCACGTTAAAAACATTTACATATTTATTTTTTCAAAAATACATAATTACTTATGGAATTACCCTCAGGAGAGATTTGTATTCTTAACAACTCAAAATTTACTTATAAAAATTACAAACCAAAGGCATATTTCAAGTGTTTGAGTATAACATCCAGTTCACTCTCGCCTGAAACACATTGAGAACATAATCTTGTGTTTAAATAACTCAAACACTGAGCAAACGATTAGCTGAACTAAAACTTCTTAAACTCAACTATGGTTTGGAACCATCTGTTTCATTCCTTCCTGGATGGTGTTTAGAGCGTGCAGATCACCCTTGATAATGTTGACTAACTGCGCAATTCCGTTATGTTCCATTTTTAACAACTGTTTGATTTCCTCTTGAGCTTCCGTGTCTAATCTGTACTGCACGGCGATCTGTTTTTGGCTCCCCTCTATCATTTTCACGTTGGACAGAAGTTCGTTCAACTGGCCCTACAAGAGAAAAAAAAATGTGAAAAAATTAGTTATGAACTAGTACAATAGAGAAATTGAACTAATCAAGTCAGTCCTCAGACATTCTTTCCCTGCCCTACCGGTAGTTACCGTCCATCTGGCAACGTTGACCCTTCCCATATCTTCAGTCGTGGCAGCGCCCACCGAACCACCGCGGCAGTACGAGCAGAACAATCAAGCAGACCGTTACTCCGGGCGCTGAGCCCAGATAGCAGAAGGAGACACGTTTAGAATACATCTCTCTATCATTCCAAGTTTTAAAGACAAATGCACGGGGAAATATGACTAATAGGTGCATAGAATTACCAGGGATCGGGGGTATAAATATACTAACAACAAAAAATTGAGATATATTCACCCCCACCCCCAATTTTTCTCCACAAAATTTCAATATCCTTTGAAACGTCAAATAAACACGTTTGAGCGATTTTCATTTTGCGTTTTTGGCCTTTTTCTCCACCAACACAGGCCCATATATACCAGCATACATCAAATGGGGAGGAAGAGCAAAAGGATGTAATTCTACACGAGTGTTTATTTTAGACATACACTCAAAGTCGTCTCGTATGAATGATGACTATTCTAACCGTAAAAATTCAATTATTTTTAACAAAATAACTAAACAAGAAAGCAACTGGACCTGATGGAATACAAGCCCTTGGTATTAAATCTATGGGACTAATGATGAAAGTGATCCTTCTGCATGTGATCATCTTTATCCTTACTACAGGCGATGCAAACAAGGTTATTACATTTTTCTGCATAAATCTCGTAAGGACATTACAAATCCTAAATGATTTCGCCCAATTACTATTTTTAATATAATGGAAAAAGCTAAACGGATTAGATTAGGTGATCCTCAGTAGATTAAACCACCAGTTAGAAAAGGTAATCCCAAACTACCAAGACGGATTTCTCAAAGGAAAAGGAACTGCTACTCAAATCCTCAGAACAGTCCACTATGCGTGCGAGGCGTTGGCCAATAAAGAACACTTGCGATGCTGTCAACTGACCGTACTAAAGCCGTCGACAGTATACACCACAAAGGACTAGGGTACAAAATGCAACATCACGATATCCCAGCATCCTCAATCACCTTGAGGAAAACTACTTCAATGGTCGAACAGTGAGCCGAAAACTTTATCCAGTTCAGGGTAGTTAGGGGATGCTGTGCCGCAAGGGTTAATTTTGCCTTATGACCATCCGATGCTCGCACAAATAAAATGGGATCGATGCCAGATATCTGACACAAATAAATAAAATTACTCTCCTCCGGAGAGCTTAATGAGAACTAACTTAAGCCAAGAGGCAGACAGGCATTGACGGCTTCGAGCAGCTATGTATACTAAACTTTTTTGAAAAATAAAATAACTCTATGTGAGATAAATAAATTTTGAATGATATAACTCAAAAATAGTATAGATTATAATACTTCCTCGCCAACTGGCGTGGAAATTAAAATCTCCAATTTACACGATTTGTTTTAATTTATCTATGATGTTTAAGCATAAAAAGATGAATATTTATTGCAAAAAATACAACAATTCAATCATCGTACTTCAAAGCCGACAACTTATTTGAAACTCGACATACAAATAATTGATTTTTTGTGTGAAGATCTTCGTTCATGATAAAAATATATTTCCTTTCTGTTGAAATATGAAAAAACCAATCAGATGCTGATGATTTAACCAGCATTGCATTGACGTCACTTAGCATTCATTAAAACTACGAAACGTGTGAATCTACCTGCTCGCATTTTTAACAAATCACCACAAAACGCGTGTTCCAAGATATGAGACTTGTGCATTTCCTCATTCTGCTGTTAAATTTTTGTAATATCCCCAATCGTTTGAATTGCTGAGTAAGAATATTATAGTTATACTGAGGTAAGTGATATTTCAGCAATTTTAATCGTTAAAAGCGTATTTTATTATATAAAGGAACATGTTTTTTGATTGAAAACTTGTATATCATCACCATTGTTGCCCTATCCACTATTGTGACTAATAACATTGGCTGGTGTATGGACGTATGGAGTATCTACTTAATATTCTATTCGATTAAAATAAGAAAAGATATAAAACTCTGAAACCGCATACATGGTGCATATTACCTAAAAAAAATCAGGATGATTCATAACTAGGTGGTGACCCAAACATATTTTTTTTTAAATGGAAAGCCCTACATTTTATTGTATAATTCGGATAGGCCGTTTGAAGCGAAACAATTGTATGTGAACATTGGGTTTGGTTTTTAAATTGTTGAGATATTGGGCAATCTATCGAAAAAAAAGACACCCAACTTCAACAACTCGCACCGCCTCATCAGTTAGAGTACTGACTTTTTGCTAGATAAATTTCATGATCCCATATTTTCTCCATATTCACATACTTATTCAGTTTTTTTTATAGTCTTCACAGGGTATTCAAGAACACAAAATTAACAGTTGGACAAGATTATTATCAAACATTTTCTCACTCTTTGACTCACCTTTTCACAAGATTTTTTAATGAAATATTACAATACATTTCAAAATGATAAATAATATTTAGTTTGAAACAGCAGATCGTTAGAACTGGTGTATTTTGATTATAAATTAAATCTACCCAGCCTTATGCAATACAGACGAAAAGTGAAGAAGGTGTCCTTGTATTTTTAGTAACTCAAAAATCAATCGTACAAATACTCACAAACCTAATATCAGAAAAGACTTGTGAAACGAGTAATCGAACAATGTCTGGATACACCGGGTGATCCGGCTGAGAATTCTGAGAATTAGATCATTTTTTCTCGTTCTTGTTCAAAAAACTGAAAAGTGCGGTTGCTGTATATCGCACATTGCCATGGATGTTGTTGATCGATAGCGATTGTTTGTTACCTGGTGTCACTTTAGTATGAATCCTTCTTTTCTCACACACAAAAAGTCGCTAAAAATTGTTACATACCTAGTTTTAATAATTGAAAATGGCGACGAATAAAACAGTAATTCGAAGTTGTTTACTGTATGAGTACAAACTTGGTACAATGCAGCTATTGCGGTGGTGCGAAAAATATGTACCGCATTCGGAGATGATGCCGTTAGTGATCAAACAGCACAGAAGTAGTTTAAAAAAAATTCTTCGGGAGATTTCAGCTTGAGCTAGTCATGTGTCGTTCGCGAACGAGTCGTTCAAAATGAACGACTCATTTAAGTGAGCGATGATTGAGCCAAATTGTTTTGTTTTGAGATATCTCTTTAAATTATACGTTGAAATGATGGGATTTGAGAGCAAAAATTGCATTTTGATTTAGAATTCGGTAATTCCTCAAAACTGGACGACATATCCCTTCTTTTTTCGGAAGACAGTATACATTCGTTATATTCAATTCCAACCAAAAATATTAATAGTTAAATAAATACAATAACATCGGCAACCCCAACCCTTCATTTCATTTTCATAGTATGATGTATATTCTCTGACGCAGTGAGTCGTTACTATAGGCAACACAATAATCTCGTCAGCTTCGAGGCCGGTGGGTAATCGTATCGTTCAAATGAACGACTCTGAACGAACGACTCACTAAAGAGAGATGAACGAAATGAGCGAGCTCAGAGAAAAGAGTCGTATGCCTATGCGTATGTCGAGTCTAGTTGAGCGATGAACCGCGCTCAGGGAAACCAAAAATAATGAACACGCGGATCTTCGACAGGTTGTTCATGAACAACGAGGATCTTCGACAGGTTGTGCACGCAAATTCCGGGACAACGTGCCAAGAACTTGCAGAAATGTTCAGTGTGAGTCATGAAACTATTCGTTTGCATCTTCATCAGCTAGGAAAGACGTGGAAGTTAAGCAAATGGTCCCACATGAACTGACAAATGATAACAAATTAGGTCGTCTTACGATTTGCGACGAAAAATGGATCTTGTATTCGAATTCTAAGCGTTCGTTACATTGGTTGTCGCCTAGTGATTCGGTACCACACACGCCCAAGGTTTCCTTGCACCCAAACAAGGTTTTGTTGTGTGTTTGGTGGACAGCAACTGGAATTGTCCATTATGAGTTTTTGAAAAGGGGTCAAACCATCACTGCTACCTTGTATTGTGAGCAGCTTCAACGAGTACAAGCAGCACTCATCCAGAAACAGCCTTCTTTGATCGATCGGAAGAAAGTGATATTCTTGCAGGATAACGCCTAGCCTCATACCGCAAAACTGACCCCAGAAAAAATTTCTGAACTCGACTGGGAGAGGTTACCGCACCCGCCATATTCTCCCGACATTTCGCCCAGTGATTATCACCTTTTTTGTCTCTTGAGAACTGTATGAGGCACCGAAAATTCACAACTCGAGATGGTGTAATAAAAGCAGTCCACCGATTGTTTTACTCCAAATCCAGGGAGTGCTACAATACCGGCATACAAAAATTGGTACACCGTTGACAAAAGGTCATTGAATGTGATGGTAATTACTTCGACGAATAAATAGTGCCTTATTGTTTCTCAATAAAAATTTATATTCTTCTACTAAAAACCGAACTTATTTGGTTACTTGATAGATCGAGAGCAAATATGGGATCACAAAATGTTTCCAACGAAACTTTCATTACTCCTGCTAGCGGAGGTGCAAGTTGTCAAAGTTGAGTTTTTTTTTCAATAGATTTCGAATATCTCAACAATTTGAAAAGAAACCCCCATAGTATATTACATCAAATTACTTTTTTTAAGAGAACCTATCCAAATCTTAGATGAAACGTAGGATATTCTATCGAAAAAGAATTGTTTGTGTCATCACAAAGTTACGAATCATCCTATGAAGATAAACATATTTTTCAAGTCAGAAACATACTACTGTTGGCTGAAATTTTTGTAACTATTTTTTAGATATCATGCGTAATAACCAAGGTATCGACATACACTAAAAACTCACCCTGTATGCAGGAATGATTACTGACGTTTCGGTCACCTCGGTGGCTTTTATAGGCTTCGTTCCAACAAAGCCGTGTAAGTGACACTAAAAACGTACTGCGCACGCTCATGACGGTTCACTGTACGGTACACGGCTTTGTTGGAACGAAGCCATCAACGAACGAATTAAAAACGTCAGTAAATAATCATTCCTACATATGTGGTTTCATTTAGCGGCGAGACTAACATAAATACCACAGCATAAGTTCCAGTTGTTATGGTATTTCACAGCGTCACAAAGCAACCACCAAACAAAACTGAAAAACATGCAAGACTATAATATTTTGTGAGTGATGTGATCTTGTACGCTAAATCATCTCCATATTTTAAAAACCTCGGATGTAGAAGAAAACTAATCTACTGGGTATCTCAGTATATTTTTCTAAAGTACGCTAATTTCTCAATACCGAAATCTAGCTACTAGACTTGGAAAGTACTGTTCAGATTTGAATGAAAGGTGAATCAACTAAAGACATATCACAAAATTATACTTTTTTAAATCATAATATGAGTCAATAGGTCTTGTTAAAAAAGAACGAAAATTCTTAAAGCCTCATAAACAGTGAATTTCTCGTAAAAAAAATAAGAAAGAATGCCCTCTTCTGAGACCTCTAATTTGGCGCAAGAAAAACTAAGTCTTCTAAATGGCTGAGGTATTTGATAAAAACGAAACATTTTCGTGATTCAATAAAACAGTTTCTGAAGCACCTAAGTAAATAAAAAAAAAGGAAAAGATTGCGTCTTTTTATTATCAACAAGCCTAGCTGAGTGAGATTTCAACAAGTGAAAAGGCCGATTACCCCCTTTACGCGCCAAGGCCCTTTAGAAATTTTCGGAGATTGAAACTCTACAATCCAGAAGTTAGACCTATCATATTTTTGTGAAATATAATATACTCAAACTACAAATCCAACATGGAAATCATACTCACCTTAAATTGCTTGGGGTTGTTAAGCTGGGTATGCATCATCTCGAATCTTCCTCGTAACAATTCTTCTTCAGGTTGTATGGCTATTCCTAGTTTTCTTGTACTTTCTTGTTTGACCAATACCTAGAAGATAATGAAAATTGTTTTAAATCTTGCGAAATAGATAAAATCATCACTCCTTTACTGTTGCAGTAATAAAATAAGCATACATTCAAATTACAACGAAAAATTCGATCAATATAAAGAAGCAGACTGTATTAGCAAGTCATACTACTACACGGTACTTTTATTAATATCACTACTAAAAAATTTCGATCTCTTGATTCATTCATAAAATCAAAAATAAGTCGTTGGGCTCATGTCAATGGGCCAGGAGGGAGTGCGCGTGCAAACAAAGCCTGAAAATGGCCGACTTTGGGGAACATATCGTCGGGTTACTGCCAAAACAAGATAAGTACATTTTTGGGTTAAGTGCAGTTCTCTATCTAAAATGGTGTAATCTGTGATTTGGCAAAACCAGATATCTTCATATTAAGAGGAAGAGAGTTGTACGCGTGTTCCACAAATACGTTAAATGCAACATTAGGCTGTTAAAGGCAGCTAAAACACTTGCGACTAAAAGTCATTCAAATTACCGTAGGACATAGCTAGTTTTCTAACAGAGTTAAAATAAGTCATAAGTCATAAGTCATTTTGTTTTAGTGCTGATGTAAGAATTTTGGAGTCAGAATAACATAAGTACCACATGTCGGTTTTTTTTTTTAACACTTGTGAATCGACATCAGGAATTGTTGTAGATATATGGCAGTTGCTGGCCCCTCCCAACTGAGCATTTTGCTAGTTGTGGACAGAGCTAAATGGAAAGAGGTAGCTTAGAAATTGGGCGCCTGTTTATCTAATTACATACATCTGATGTCACCGAAATATCGCTGTTTTCGGACACGTGAAGCGATCAATCATATTAGTGCTCTTCTCGAGTGCATGGTCCAAATTAATCCAAATATTCAAGTAATAGTGCAAACATTTTTAGAAACTGGGCACAGCTATATGGAAGTCGAATGTATGCACAGTGCATTTAATGTGGTCGCAGATGTTAGTTCCTATTTATACAATCCAGGACTGATTCACAATTTTCCACATGGCCAGAACGTCGAGATTGAATAAAAAACCGTATAATGTTAAAGAATTAAAATGTAAAAAATTTTGAATTTAGAAAATATTAAGAAATGCTAATGAAAGATAAATTGAAGAATACCTCGGGCGAAAAGGTTTACTGGCTTAAAATCAAGTGTTCCAAGAATACTAAGTCCTAGCGTTAGATATTAGGACGATCGTAGATTGGATTATATGGAAACGAAAGTTTTGGGTGAAGGAACCCAAATAAAAATAACAGATGCGTTTATAAAAAGTATACCTATATTGACTCAATAAAGAAAAAGTCTAAACTTTGTAAAAGTAATGTTAATCCTGAGGAATATTATTATTATTACAAATCGCTTCCAAACTCCAAAGAAGCAAATGATATATTACAGGATCAGCAGCAGAGGATTCTGATCCCCAGGAAAAACCGTCATATGAAGAGTCAAATAGCTAATCAAAAAAAAGACAAGTGCAAGAAAAAAATGTGTTTTTTGTTAATGGGTGGTTAGTTTTCCAAATGTTATGATTATTTTAATTACCGCTTTCTTAAGACTTCCGTTAAGAATTTAATTTATGAATAAAAAAGTATTTAATTTCTTTGTTTGATTTTTAATCTAAGAACAAAGTTTAAAATCCTCATATTTCACTAGTATAAAAATGTAAGTTGTCTGGTTTTGGAAGTAACCCGATGATATAATTTGCAAGGCCATACGTTCGAAGCGCGATCTAGTGACGGATACAGCAGTACGAACATTTTTTTTTTAATAATGTTCAGTGGTTGATTTAAGAAAAAGAGCCCGATCGGCAATTTTTCAATGGGGCCCACTTCTTCGGTACATCATATAAATCAACTAACACATTGTCAGGTTAATTTAATTTATTTGATACAGTAAAACAGAATTATGTAATTGAATCCTTGTCTAGTTTTTCGCTCAGGGAGATAAATGCTACTTCTCAATAAGGCATTGCGGTCAGTAATGGTAATTTTATGAGTTACTAGTGAAAAAAGAAATAGTTTATATGTCAGCTCAGGAACAGAATTCAACTCTACAAGTTTATTAATCCAATAGCCCAAACTGACGGCACTGAGTTGTCTCACACTTGAAATAAACATGTATCTTGCTGCTTTTGCAGAGGCTTGATTTGATTTATAGTATCGATATGTACAGTTCGGGAGTATCAAACTATCAAGAGGAATGAAGAGAAAAAAAATGTAGCTCATTATATTCCACAAAAAGTATGCATTGCAGAGAAAATATGAAGTTTGTATTAGTTTCAGGAACGCTGAAAAATAATATTCGCATAACCCGGATATAACTAAAATGGGGTATGAATAAAAAAATTAAAATCACATGTATAAATTGAACATTGTGCAAAAATCGGAGTCCAAAATCATTAAAAGATCCGACTTGGGATTAGGGGAAAAACAGTCACGCCACTGGGAACCGAAAATAAAACGTAAACATAACCTATATTTGTGGGCTATAGTTTTACGTATATAGTAGTGCCTCACAACTATGAATTGCATAACGATGCAGAAAATGAAGAAAACTCCAATGACAAGTTGCTTGGTCAACACGAAAACTCACATTCGAATTATGAGTGAAGGGTTTACGCATCTTATACAATAACTACGTATGCGATGTTGTCAATTGTTGATGCTTCAGAGTCACCCGACTAGTTGTCATATAGCATATTCGCTAAAAATAATCTAATAACAAATAATTTCTCCCATCACGTCATGGAAAATACAGGGTGTCCGCAAAGTTGGGGTTTTTTCTTTTACACGACGTGTAGATCTTGAGAAAATACGCGGATTTTCTTAGTAACATATAGGTACTAAGTACAATGTCTTAAGAGAACCGACATATTGGGCTCCGCAAACTCAATCAAACCTGAACCAAACCGAAGCCGGTCCTGTCCTATCCTTCGATCACGTCCAGAGCACCAGCGTACAGTTTACAACGTATTTTCTACGATCACGAATCAAATCCAAGCGAATAACCAAAATTTCTGTGTTATGTACCGCGGTTATAATATGGTTCAAGATGACAGACGGGTTGATGACATCAGTTACACGAATCGCTTGAATGCGTTGGTTTTAACCGCGGTTTTGTTGCAAGTTGTTTATTTTAGAAAAGCCCGTATATAATTTCTGATTATTTTTATTATCACTTAATAATCGGTGCTTTTTCGTGTATAACGATGTAGGGAAAGTTTCAAAAAGCAACCTTTCATAATATTAAAGGGAGAAATGTTTTTTTGTCAGAAAAAAATATTTTATGATGGAACCATGGCTTTGTAGCTATGATAACTTTCAATTCTCTAAACTTTTCCGCATGTTAAAAGAAAATATTTATTGATTTAGCAGAAATGATAGGAAAAAACGAAAAAAGATATTAACAAAACCGCGCATACAGGTGGACATCATCCAGTGAGTTTATATGGCCATATTTTAATATTCTTGTGGTATATGGCTACACAGGATACTTTGTTAAACATAGGAACTAGATTGAAAGTGTTCCCAACAACAGTAATGAGTATAAAGTTTCCCAAAAATGAAGCTGAAGTACAATAACAATATCCAATACCCGGCAAAATTCTAACTTGTCACATTTCAAATAATAACCAGAAATATATAACTACTCCAGAGTTGGGTAAATACCACAATTTTGCCTTGATAACTATGACATATAACAGCTGATTCATGACGTCACGGATCTTATAACTAAACTGATAACCACACTCGCTTGAACGGATCGGTAAATACCATTTTCATTTGGTTATCCGCTTGAATTTGATTACGATGTAAGGTAATGTGTAAGTACGGATTTTGAGACAGAGCCGTACGTAGAATTCAACTGAACAGTGAGTACTTTTTAATTTTTTTTTACTTGTTCGCTCACGTTTCACCACGCATTAGCTTTGTTATATCAAGCGTAGTTCTTTCTGAAAAGGAAACCCCAACTTTGCGGACACCATGTATATTACTAAGTACCTGTTGTTAACTTATTAATAGGTAGTTAATTACAACTATACCAAAAGTACGAAATTCCTGGCAGTGACTCATCTATGCTTTCGAAAAGCAGCAGTTGCCAGATTTCAAAAATGAATTTACCTATCCATTTAAAAAACTATAATTATGATGTAAAACTAGTAAGAACTGAGAAACGTATATTCAGATGGACAAATGGTAGTAGGACTATGAATGTGACACAATGTAAAATTTCTACTCTGAATGACGAGAGAGGAGTTGGTAAGTTATCAGTTTGGTAGTTTCGAACGTGAAATTGCCGACTATAAGGACCACATGACAACTCTGTCAGGTATCGGGCAGCCGATGATCGGGATTGGTGTATATCTCCGTTGTCTCTACCCCACTGCTAACATGACAACTCGCGGATCATTCGGGCGCGCGCGACAAGACATTAGGTGTTCAGGATGCTGTTTTACTTTGTAGCTTCCTAACAAAAGTGTCTGAAAGAACAATTTTTCGGATAATCAATAGAAAAACTTCAACTAACCGAGAAGAACATCCGACGACTAGTGGTAGTACGAGGGGAAGGAAGAAAATCGTTTTGGATAAAAATACCAAATATGCTGTTCGCAGACACATACATTCTTTTTTTTCCGAAACGGGATGCCTACAATACAAAAAACTGCTGAAATGGAAAAGGACGACAGTATTCCGAAAATTTCTATGAGGGTTCTATAAAGAACGATCCATGATTTGAACTTTAGGTATTTGAAGCGGACGAGGAAGTCATGTCTGATTGAAAAAGAAGAAATTGTGATGTGGCGACGTAAGTACTTAGCGGAAATGCGGAAGTACAGATACGAAAATAGGAAGATATATTATCTCGATGAAACGTGGGTGAATGGGGATACACTACGCCAAAGGTATGGCAAGATATGAATATTACCAGTCGTCAACAGGCCTTCAAGCACCTACAGGTAAGTTTGGACTTTTTCTAGGTCATAACTGTTGTGTATTTTATAATCCAGTATTATTCATTTTGGACATCTGCATCTTTGGTTTCCTACATATATAATGTAAATAATTATAATCCTACTTTAATGACCCCAGGGATTCTAGGAGACAATCAGAATACCTTGCCACTTTCACTAAAGGATTATACCTGTATATCCATTATTATCCAATCCATTGCTAATCACCATAATCGGATTATACGTTTCAATTCCCAGGTCTTAAAAACTTAATTTAGTTTTTCTTAGTTAAATGGACTTGGGATCCAAAGAAACAGTTTTCTGTTACAGAGCTGCCTATGTTTAATAATTTAGTGCCTTCTTCAGGGCTCTATAAAACCCTGAAAACCATTACTCATGAAAAAAAACAAAGATAAACGGATTCGTGACTTAAACGGATGAAAAGTGTTTTTATTCTTATCAGAAAAAAAGGAAATACAAGAAAGTAATGTAAAGTACGGTCATTAGAAGACTAATATGCTTCATTTACTGTTCTCCTAGACGCTTGAATTTATTGAAACTTTATTTCAGGTAAAGGGCGGAGGCTTATTGTAACACATACTGGCAGCGATGAAGGGCTTCTGGACAAAGGATTACTGACATTTAAGTCCAAAGAAACTAGATTTGAAGCATGGTTCAAAAGCATTTTGAGGGATATCCCTTCTGGTTCAGTCGTGGTAATGGATAAAGGTTGATTCTCACTATACATTCCGTTTCCATTCCGTAACCGTTCCGTAAATTATTGAAACTAAATATTCGCATAAAGCAGGCTATTGCATGTGTATCCACATTATCCGTAAGGTATACTGTGTATACAATCAAATTGTACTGAACGTTTACGAAAGTGATATGGAATGGAACCGGAATGTATAGTGAGAATCAACCTTAATGCTCCATATCACAGTCGCCGACTAGAAAAGTTCCCTACTAGTTCATGGCGAAAAAGTGAGATAATAAATTCGCTCAAGACAAAAAACATTACATACCAGGAACAAATGCTTAGAATTGAACTCCTTAATATCGCTAGGCAAAAGAAACCGACGTCAATACGAGTATTGTATGCTATAGATGAAATGGCTCTCCAGCATGCCATTATTGTTCATCGCTTACCACCCTATCATTGTGAACTAAATCCAATTGAGTTGATATGGGCGCAACTCAAAGGCGAAATAGCAAGGAACACGAACCTTCAAGTTACCGGATGTCAAGTTATTGTTACAAAATGCTATCAACAACGTATCCTGCGAGAACTGGCAAAAATGTATTCCACACGTCATCAAGGACGAGCAGTGAATGTGGGATCTGGACACTCACATTGACATTATTGTTGAACCAGTTGTGATTGAATTAAATATCCACGACTCTGATTCGTCTAGTGATGACACCGATATTGAATAATCATTGATTTTTAGATCTTATTATAATTTTGTTTTTGTGTTTTTGACAACTGATAATAATTTTATTATGTTTGACACTGAAGTCTCGATAAGTTTGGGTGTTCCATTATATATTTATTATATATACATTTTTATATTATTCATACATTATATATATATATATATATATATATATATATATATATATACCAAATATTGTCAGTTATTCGTCATGATAATTCACACTGTTAAATATCTGGTTAAATAAATAAATATAAATGAACCACTTCGCTATTATATGTAGTAGTAGTACAAAGATTTATTTAGCACATTTGGCTACATAAACAGAATAATTGTAAACAACTTAGAATTAGTAAATTCAAGCCATATGATATATAATTGTACATTTAACAAGTGATTCCTCAATTTTACTTTAAATTTTGTCAATGTTTTCTCGTCTTTTATCTCTGTGTATAATTTATTATATTCAATCAACCCTTGATAGAATACAGATTTGTAGCATATGATATATTTTTTGGTCATTAAATGGAAGTCATCTTTATTTCTGGTATTATGTAAATGATGGTCGACATTTGATGATGTTAAATTAGTTAGACTTGATGGAAATATATTATTATTTACTTTATAAATGAATATCATTACAAGATGTTTGATAAAAAATTTTACATTGAGCCATTTCAATTTGCAAAGCATTTGTCTAATTGGAGTATATTTATCTTTATTCAGTATTATTCTCATGCACTTATTTTGTAAAATTTGCTGTCTTTCAAAAATGGAATTATTTGCTAAATATAGAATAGTCGAACAGTACAAGAAGTTTGGAAGAATGATGGTATTATAGATAATTTTTCTGCCAGATGAACTCAAACATCTAGAAACCCTTGATAAATATCTCACTTTACTACTAATCTTATTTATAACTTTTTCAAAATGAATATCAAAATTAATCGAAAGTCAACAAAAACCAACAGGTATTTAAAATTTTTTATGAATTCAATATCTTCACCATCAATATTCAGTTGAACATTTGTACATTGTTTTTTTCCGATTAACATAGCTTTCATTTTACTTGTATTTAATTTTAGTCTGTTAGATGCTAACCATTTTGAGACAAGTTTCAAGTCTTCATTTATATAAGAGTTACCAGTCTGAATATTTTTAGTACTTATATAAATTATAGTGTCATCGGCGAAAATCTGAATTTTGTTTTTTTTTTACTGTGGCAGGTAAATCATTTATGTTTAAAATAAAAAGAAGTGGTCCCAGGATACTGCCCTGTGGAACACCCAACGTATTTTCAATTTTTGATGAAATAGTGTCATTAGCTTTTGTAACGAGCATCCTTTTAGATAAATGATTTATAAACCACTCTAAAACACTTCCTGATACACCATATGCCTTCAATTTACCTAACAACATATCTCTATCAATTGTTTCAAATGCCCTCTTCAAATCCAAAAATACTGCTATGACAACTTATTCTAAGTCTCTTCTCTTTTCTCCAATTCTCAGTTACCAACTGGAAAGCCGTTTCTGTGGACATTTTTTTCGAAAGCCTGCATGCGTCTCCACTAAAATTTTGTTTTCTTCTATAAACTGCATTAATTGGTCATGCACTATGGACTCTAATAATTTTTCAATGTCTGGTAACACATTTACTGGTCTCATATCGCTGCATCTTTTAGAATTTTTTATTTTGGGAACTGGGTTATTGTAGAGCATTTCAAATTTTCAGGAAAAGAACTGCTTCTCAGTGAACAATTGATCCAATTTAATACAGGATATCCCAAAATTTCGAAACAGTTTTTCAGCACGTTTTTAGTAGTGATTTCGGCACAGTTGTTATTTGATTTTAAACTGTTTACTTTTTTCTTAGATAATTCGATGATACGTGAAATTTTGAAAGTGTATGCAACACTTCCCCCTGGAAACTAATTTTCATATATTAACACCTTTTATAAAAATTAGTTCGTACGCACATGGAATAATCCCTCTCCACCCCTCTGCTCAGCGCAGCTACCTTAGGTAACAGCGATGAGTCACTGCCAGGAATTTCGTACTTTTGGTGTACAGATAGAAAGCATTTTCGGAGATTTACTAGCTTCCATTGAAATACAGGCAACATGGAAAATTTCCGAGATGTTTGCAAAAATCCGAATGCAGATAGGTCTATATTTTTTAGCAATCGGCGATTAATATAAGCAGTCCGCAATAAATATTATATTGTGGCGTGACAAGCGACACGTTTAATAAAACTTTATGAAGTATCATCAAAATTTTAACACTTTTACGCACCCTCAGAATACGATGCTGCATCTCCAGGAACTTCTGCTTCAACTCGGTGATTTGTGCTATCGAAGAGGAATGTTTTGTTTTAAGATCCGCTATATCCTTATTTACTTTATCCAGGAAGGCTTGATGTAGACCTGTTTGATATTCTTGATGGAGCATACGCGACCTCAGGTCCGAAAAGCCATTTATTGGCACCGGAATATATTTCTTAGGATTCGGATTGTCTTGAATAGCTGCTAGCCACATCTGATTATCGATGCCTATAAAGAACAAGAAAGTCGGTCAACAAATGTGACAAGGCAATACTACTTCTAAAATTTGATATTCTGCATTCAACAACAACCTTAGATTAGTTTGACAAGTACTGTCACTGAGCTCAGATAACAAAACAACTATACAGTGCTTCTGCCATATATGTTGCGGCCGCCTTTTCTCTAAAATTAAATCTGCTGGAACGTAATGGTGCAAAGATGACAGTATGAAGGTAAATCAAATATGAACCGAACTTTTGTTTTAGTAATTTTATTGGTATAGTAAATACAAGTTTATTTACATCTAATTTTTCTACATAATCTCCTCTCTTATTCATGCACTTTTCGCATTGGATAGAAAGTTTTTTAATTCCCCCATCAAAGAATAAAGCTGGTTGTGTCAGAAGAATCGCTGAAAATCAGGAAAACCGTATTTTCACAGATTTTCTCCAATTTTTGACATTTTAAACGTAGGATGTCATAAGGTGGCCAACTTCAAAATTCAACTTTTATATGTTTTTTTTCATTTTTTTAGGTTCCACAATCAAAATTTGATTTGTTTCCAGGAAAATTGAGAAAATAGGGAAAAGCACATTTCCGCTGATTCTCTTCAATTTTTGACGCTTTCGGCCAGAAAATGGATAGTTGGGTGACCTAGGAATACGTTGTATAGATTCATTTTTACGTTCTTTTCCGTTTCGTTGTTAGAATGATGATTTCTTGTCCGCAAAATTGTCAAAAATCGAAAAAGCATTTTTACCGATCTTTTCTAGGTATTTTTAGAGTAGAATATCATAGCTTTTTGTCAATGGAACCTGGAAGAATGGGCAAAAATACATGTTTCTGGAGTTTTCAAGTTAGTCAAGCTATGATATCCTAAAATGTAAGAAGTTGCGGTTTTTTCGATTTTTGACGATTGTCTCGACAAAAATTCATGATTTTGTTAGTGGATCTGAAAAAAACGCCAAAAAGCATTGATATACAGTGGATTTTTAAGTCTACGAAATTTTCGTTACAAAACTCAAAAAATATTTAATTTTTTTTTTCTCTCTAACCTATAAGTTCCACAAATCTATAAAAAAATCAAGGGCATGTAGGATATATGAATATAGCAACGGTAATTTTTTCAAAACTTTTTGAGCAAAATTGAGCCCGTATAAAACTATTTTCGAAAACACGTTCCTGAGATTAAGGGCCCCTAGAGCAGACCATTCGATCAAAAAATTTAGTTAAGGTTTGGATATCTTTGGGAGCAATTTTTATATTTCGCCTACAGCCTTTTCTTATAATCTAATTTTTACCTGATGGGGGATGCTTCAAATACTCCTCTAACTCTGCCTTGCTAGGAGTGACGTAAGGCGTTATACTGGTAACTCCAACATTTGTCAGCTGCTGTTTCTGCTGTGGTTGATTAAAGAACGCAGCCAAGTCTGTAGCGGGTATCTTGCGACCGGTTCCTGTCACTCCTTTCTCGGTGACGGTAACCTTCAATTCAGTTTGAGATTCAGTAAGGGCCCTCAGCTGGATTATTTCGATTGTGAGATTGGGCTTGTTGCCTAGGATTCCAGCTATTCCATTCTTCAATACCTCTTGCTGATTTCTATTAAATGAAATATAAATGCACATTTTGTTGGTGTGTTACAGAGAACTAACAATACAATTATTTAAATAAAATGATGAGATACAAATAGTGACTTGACTTATATCAGTGCCTTTCATGAAATTAGGAAGTTTCCTATAGTCAAAAATACTACTGGTTTCACTTGCATATAATAATATAAGTGGTATCTTTCACAAATCTGAAAGAATTATTCCAATGACTTAAAGCTTAAAGAATTTATGACAAACAGCAAGATGTCTGTTGGAACTTAGTCCCAGTTCGCATTGTCAGCCATATCACCAATATGGCCGCTAGATGCCGCCGATTCTGGTGCTACAGTATAAAGTGAATAATACTCACTTCAATTCGTCGATCTTCTTCCCAAAAATGATCCGTACAATGCCGTCCGAATTGTCGTGCTCAGGAATGACATTATACCCCATCGCCTTGAACCTGTAGAACGGGTTTAGAGGCACATATTCTACTGGAGGCTGACCTGGTGCGTAGTAGCCATTCCCGCTACCCCAGCACGCTTGCAGCATATTCCACTTCTTGATGACATCATCCCTTTCATCATTGAACAAGTTCACAGAGTAGACGGATGCTATGGTTTGAGTTGCCAATGATTGCAGAAGGTCTGGACCATATAGAATAAAGTAATACTCTGTTTAGTCCAGGCGATATATTCGCATCTGATGGGAAAAATATTCTGATTCGGATATTTTGTATAATATACAAAAAGATCTCCTTTTAGCGAATCTGCACGTTGCCAGGCCCAAATTTGCACTAAAACTTTCTTGAACATTTTCTTTTAGAAATTTCAAAACTTGTTTTTTATTTCACTACGGTAAAAGCTTTTTTCATTAAAAAAAGTGCGAAATATTCCATTTTCGACCCCAAAAAACAATTTAAAAAAATGAAAGTTTAATGTTGCCAATGTTCCTAAATATTCTTCAAGCAACCATTAACAAAATCACAAAGCTTCTGATGAGGTATTGTTATTGTAAACATTTTTAATTGTTAACCAAGCGCGCGCTCAGTGCAAACTCTGCGTGAGTACTAGCGAGGTACAACATGTAGGAGCGGCCGCCAGCCACGGCGGAGTACCAGCTAGCGTGTGCTCAACTAACAAGAATATTTAACAAAATTGAATTTTTTTTGCGAAGATGCTAGATGGTACATGGTACATAATTCAAATATAATGTCGCTCGGAAACTATCAACTTTAGAGAAAAGGTCGAAATCACCTTTTTTGTTCAGAATGCCTCTAAAAACCTAAACCACCACCAGTGAAAAAAACTATTTTTGGAATTTGTTTAAAATAATTGTTTCAAAAAATGTTGACGCAAATTTGGACCATGCGACTAAAAGGGCCCTTTTTGAATGAAATTATGCAAAAAATGTCAATCAGATTATTTTCCCATCACAGGCAAATATATTCTGGCCAGGCTAATCAAAGTGCTAGACATTTATTATTATCTAAGTGACATATAAATCCGAACACCCAGTTTAAATGGTTTTATTTTAATAAAATTTTGTATAAGTACTTAATGAAGCATAATAAGTAAATGATAAAAATTTCAAAATGATTGCACTGCTTTAAAGCCCTTTGACTTTTGATAATGTGTGGATGCACCCTGATGTGCTACGCATTCTCCAACGCGCCTAGGCATGCTTCTGATCAGGTGGTCAATGTCCTCCTGTGGTATCTCATTCCAGGCAACCACCAACTCCTCTCGAAGTGCTTCTAGAGTCTGAGGAGGACGTTGCAAATTGAGCAATCTCCTACCCATCATATCCCACACGTGCTCAATTGGGATAAGTCGGGAGATCTTGGTGGCCATGGTAACAATGTGACATCATTATGTTGAAAGAAGTCTATTGTGACTCTTGCAACATGTGGTCGGGCATTATCTTGTTGGAAAGTTGGATCTACCAGGGTGTCAAGATAGGGTAAAAGATGGGGTTCTAGAACTTCGTGGATATAACGCTGCGCGTTCATGTTACCTCTGATGAAGATTAAAGGTGACCTGGATCCATAAGCTATAGCACCCAAACCATAACTCGAACAGTGTGATGAACATGTCTTTCAACAAAAAACTGTGGATTCCTCCTTTCACCACCTCGCCTTCTAACCCTGACACGACCATCCTGCATGCCTAAACAAAATCGAGACTCGTCACTAAAGACAATACTGTTCCATTCCTGATCCCACAGTGACCGTTGTCTGCACCACTCAAGGCGATTACGTCGGTGTTCTCGAGTTAAAGGGATGACCCAGTGTGGCCGGTATGAAAACAAGCCAAAACTTCTCATCCGTCGGTAAAGACTTCGCATGCCAATAGGTCTTCCGTGTTCTGCAAACCATTCATTTGCAATGGACCTGGTAGTGGAGAAACGGTCCCTTAAGGCCAATAATCTTAGGCGGCGATCTTCACGGTCTGTTGTTCTACGGCGGCGTCCAGTGCCCCTTGCTCTTTGCGTACGGCCTTCTCGAAGCCATGCCTGACAACACCTAACCACAGTGTCTACACTTCTTTGCACTCTAACTGCAATTGCCCGAAAAGAAAGTCCAGCTTCCCGAAGTTCCACTATACGGCCCCTATCAAACTCACTAAGTTGACGAAATCGTACAGGTCTCCGTACTCTAGGCATCGTAACCGATCGTAAAGGATGTCAAGAACCAAAATCCGCCAACGTTGATTCTTTACTGCGGCTGAAATATTCATTTTTAGAGCGTTAAATTAAATTAACCGGAATGTCCAACTGATAAGGCTGAAAATTTTTTCACTTGTTATTTACAGTAAGATAAATACATTCACCAACTTTTGTTAAAATAAAACCATTTAAACTGGGTGTTCGGATTTATATGTCACTTAGTATATTAATGATTGCTGTTATGTATGCAATAAATAAATCCAAAGATTTCAAACCTACAAACATGCAAAGGATAAATTTGAGTCTTGACATGCGGCCTTCACATTTTCAATTACACAGTATTTGGCTTTAAATCTAAATGTTTGCCAGCGGCTAAATGAAACCACTGACGTTGGATTGAAGGTTTATTTACGTTTCGGCCACCCGGTAACCTTTTTTAAAATATAGCAAAAATATTACTTACTTTGAGAAAGGCTACCGACCTGGCCGAATGGTTAGTAACCTTTCAATGCAACATATGTGGTTTCATTTGGCGGCCAATAAAACATGGAGATTTAGATACAAGCACAGTATATGTTTCGGCAGGGTTATTACGTAAAAAACCTATACACGGTGTCCCATTTTTATCTCCCCATCTGAATATTTAGAAAACTGCGCATTCTAGAAAAAAGTTTCAAACGAAAGTTGTAGAGTTTCGAGGGGACAAAATGTTTGTGTTCTTGACAATGACATTACTAAAGCCTTCAAGATCATTGCAAGGTCATGTTTTTTTCAAATGCAACCCCCTTTACAGACACACCGACGGAAATAAGTGGCATGGTTCATCGTGATTACAATACTTCCTCGCCAGTAGTCGTGGGAAGTAAAAATTGAAGTGTCATCAATTGAAAATTTTAATTAAAGTGCTATTGATGCTATTGTTATAAATCATACCAGCTTGTCTAATCGGAGGCCTTGCGCCTGCTCCAAGTCCTGTGCTTCCAAAGTAACCTGCAGGAGCATTTCCAGCACCTAATCCACCATAAGTCGCTGATGTACCAAAACCCCCGAAACCTGTAGATGCTGTAGTTGTTGCACCGAAGCTAGATCCGAAGGTGTTCGAGCTACCAAAAAGCCCAGTACCAAAACCTCCCGTGGTACCAGAATTGGTTCCAAAGAGACTTGATGTGGTGTTGGGTGTGGGTTGACCAAAGAGTGATGGGGTAGACGTTGGTTGGCCAAATAAACTTGGAGTGGTTGTTGTTGAAGCACCTAAAATTACGGTAGAAGAAAAAATATGAGTAATTTATTTTATTAAAAATATGGCGGCATAAAGAAAATTTTCGAAAGTTACAACAGATCGTGACGAGCCATGTCAGTTTTGCCGACTTTGAACCGTTTTGTAAAAATACATTGACGATGTCTTAGGATTAGGGGTCTGGGTAATATTTTACTGTATTATAACGTAATAGTGTCAGTTGGAAATTTTAAAATGGCAGATGGGCGTCATTTTGAAGCTCCTTATGGGTAGTTTACATCCCATGGAATGTAAAATGGCCATCTTTAGGAATGGCGAACCTTAAAGACGTTTTAAAAACATTTTTTTGACATATTGGAGACGTCGTAAGGACCTCTTATGAATGCTGTATGACATCGTAAAGACGTTATAAAGACGGTGTTAGTAAGACTAAGCGACTTAAAGACGTCTATAATACTAAATTGTTTAGTGGGACATTAAAAAGACATAATAAAAATACGCGGGTCAATATATTTATTGAAAAGGATGTTTTGGAATTTAGTTAATTTCTTGAACTGTCAATTTCTTGTGTGGCTGTGCGGCGATTTGGACCTCGCTTTAGTCAAGCTCCAATAGCTAACTGCATCGCGTGCTGGCTTTGGCATTTACCAGCCCTTTCAGCAGATATTGAAAGAAATAGGTAGGTACAGGTTGTTCCAGAATCTTTTGTAATTTTGTAATCCAAATTTTGTTTGTTACGTTGCTTTTATACTATTTATTATGATGTCTCATTCAGAACAAATCACCTTAAATAATTAAGGAATAAGTATAAGCATTAGCTGTTATTGCACCAGGCGAGTATACGATTCCACTTAAGGTTGCCCTCTATATTGTTCAAACAACCAGTTATCAAAACGAAGAAAATGAAGTATGGCATATTCCACTTTGAAAAAATGTCAAAATCCACCAAATTCCTATAAACTGTATGCACCATATTCTATTACACATTCAGATAGACCCTTTCAAGAGAAGAAAATTGATATGACACACTAGCATTTTGATGATTGGTTGTTGAGTTATAAGCGACACAATGTACAAAAACGCTTAGCTTGGACAGCCTGCCAGTTTACCATTTTCACAGATGGTGATTTTATATTCCAGGGTAATGAAGTGCTCATAAGGGGTTTCAAAATGAGGTATCGCATGACGCTCATAGCATTTCAAAAAATGTTTCAAAATGGCGCCCGGTCACAATCTTGAAATTTTCAACTGCCATTTTCACACTGAAATGTGCGTCACCTTCATTGAACTTAAACTTAACATGTTCAAAAAGTAAGTAGTGAAAATAACTGCATTTATGATGTAAGCACTAGATCAGTACAAAATCAAATAGTTACATCGCAAGCTTTTTCGCCCTTATCATAGTAGCAAAATTGTGTGAAAATTTGATCAAAATCCGAGCGGCAGATCAAGCATTAGCGGACAGACAGACAGACGGAAAATGAGTGACGTGGTATTCCGTGATATACAACATATCATAAAAACAGCAAAAAAAACCTTTTCGAAAATTTTCAACATTACAATACTTCTCCGCTAGTAAACGTGGGAAGTAAAAACATAACCTTTTTTTCTGACTCACCGAATAGTCCCCCCGCTGCAGGTTGTGTAGTGGTAGTGCTACCAAAGAGTCCACCAGTAGTGGTGCCACTACCAGGTGTTGAGAAAAGCGATGGTGTTGAGGTACTGCCAAACAAACCAGGTTTTGAAGCTTGCGCGCCAAAGAGGTTGGTTTGCTGCTGTTGACCTGTTGCTGCAGTACCGCCGAACGCACTACCAAATGTCGGCGTCGCAGCTGAGGAGGCTGGTGCTCCAAAAGCAGTGCCGAATGTGGAAGCTGTTGAGGCGACTGAAAAAAGATATAAGCGGTCCAAAGATTAGCGGACAGACAGACCGACGGAAATGCGTGACGTGGTTTTTCGTGATATACATTCTGAGAAAACCAACAGTTGGCAAAAAACAAGGTTAAAAATCGCTTTAAAATATAGTAATCTCAAAATACTCTTGGGGGTCTTAAACTTAAAGAAAATTCGATTAATAAATATAACTTTTGAGGTTGTCACGTATCTAAATTAAAGCTAAGACCTTGCTCTACAAGACCTTGAATAGCATTTTGAGATTAGTTTATTTCAAAGTGATTGTTTTTCACGGCAAAATTAAACTTTTGGTTTTCGCAGACAGTACATGTCATAATTGTAACATCCAAAAAAACATAATATCTCATTCTCGAAATTTTTCGCGATTACAATACTCGCTCGCCCTGTGGCGTTTAAATTAAAACAAATGAACTATTATCTGAAGGACAGATAAACAACAATATATTGTCGTTGTCAGTTATACTGTGAAAAAGACAGCCGCAGGGGTTATTACATATCTTTAAAAGTTACATTATATAGGTTTTTTGTGAAATCAGGTAGGTTTTCGTATAAGAGGTCAACTTCGAACTAGCTGTTGTTCACTTGATGTGCACCTGTGCGTGTTACCTAAACGTCATGATGCTTGAGCTATAATGGTTTGGCTCTGATGTGATGTTACATCTGCTTCGGAGATGGTATTATGGGAGGTCTAAGTTGTATACTACGTGCCCTGTCTCAGTGAAGTTGGCCCAACACCCCAAATCATGATACTTATGAATTTATTTGAGCGCTAATTCAAATTTTGTGCCAAATATAATATTTTTGGTTTCTTTAAATCTTCATGGAAACCGACGCGGCTATTTTAAAGCGTTTTTATTTCGAAATTGTTTTCTTTGCAAAATGATTTGATCGATTCGATCAAATAAAGGTATGCTTTATAAAACAAATGATAAGATTTTTCGTTGCTAAAAAGCTGATTTTTGACGTTTAAATCAACTTTCAATGCATTGGTGTTGTTGTTAACAGTTAAAAATGGCTCGTGGTAAAGCTGCTTCTGACGAAGTATTTCTAGGCAAAAGAGAAGCCATTACTGACTAAGGTTCAGAAGAAAAACAGACTAGCGTGGGCCAAAGATCACTAATCAATGGAACTCCATTATTTGGAGTGATGAAGCCAGATTCAAAGTATGCGTTGGTGATACTAGGAGTCGTGTCATACACTAAAGAAGAAGTGTTTCAGAATGACTGTCTGAAACAAAGTTAAGTTTCGGTGCCTGTTACGATTTGGGAATCTATGTCAGCAAGAGGAGTAGGAAACTTACACTTTGTGGAAGGTATTATGAATGCTGATAAGTACATTAACGTGCTTCAAAATAATACCCCAAATTGAACAAATGCGTTTAAACAATATTGAATGTTGTATCTTCCAATAAGATGGAGCCGCTTGCCATACGGCTGAAAAAGTAAAAGATTGAATGTTAGAAAACAATATTTCAGTTTTAAAATGGACGTCGAGTAGTGCAGATCTATCGCCGTTTGAAACCTAGTGGCTTATCATGAAGAAAAAGCTCCGATCGAATCCCGCAAAAACCGATCCAGAATTGCGAACCCGCCACCAAGAAATATGTAACAGTTTTACACCAGATGACTGCCAAAGATTAGTTGACACTATGTCAAGATGTATCGAAGCAGTAATCAGTCGAAAAGGCGATGTAACGCAGTGGTGATTTGCTGCTATTAGGCTTCGTTGATTGTTATTAATCGGCAGTTTTTTTTTATTTGTAAGATATTTTTTCTTTGTTACAAAAAAATGTATCTTAGACTAATATTGAATAAAAAATATCGTATGTTATCAGAAATACATTTTAGTTTTTAATACGTTTCAGCTAATATGACAAATTTCATAAAAAACGTAGTTTTGATAGTTGGGCCACTGAGAGCTCGTATAGTTGAAAGAAAACGGGCGAAACGGCAGTGCATAGGCGCTTGTTTCATACACTTACTCGAGATGTATGCCTAGCTAGAAATTAGTTGCACATCCATTTATTCTTATTCATACTGGAAATTAAACATGAAAATTTGCTGAATTTAAAAAATGAGCTGAAAAAAGAAAAACCCTGGTTGTCAGAAAATTGGTCGAATCACAAGTTATATACATGCTAACAGTAATTACACACAAGGCGGGCGCAGTGGTTATTTCCCGTGAAGTTTTCAAAAACGCAAAAAACCGGGGAAGATCATAATTCAAAACTTGATATGTGTGGTAAGGTGACCGAAGAAATTTTTAATTTTCGTGCTAATCCCACATTCAGATTTTTTTATTTAAAAAAATTGATTTTTCGTATACAATGAGATAATACCTCATCCCACCTTACGAAAAGTTTCGAACTATTGCTATAGGTGGTAGTGAAATTTGAAGATTATTTTCACAAGATTCCCCTGCCAGATAATATTTACTCGTATTAGATAAATTATTATTTGCCTTGGACATATGAAAAAGAGTTTTTCTATCGGTCTACGAATTTCCCATGCCTTTTTTAATTTCTATCTCTATTTTTTTATTACTCTACCTGGCTGTCCGAAAGAAGTACCAAAAGTAGGAGCCGTGGCTCCAGCTGCCGGTTGTCCAAAAGTACTGCCAAAGCCCGTCTGTTGTTGAGTACCACCTCCAAATGATGATCCAAAACCAAAACCAGTTGATGCTGTCGTAGTAGCAGTACTGCCAAAAGTTGTGCCGAATCCAGTCGCTGTAAAATGTGTTAATCTCAACAAAAGTCCATGTAACATGATATATCTATACAGGGTGTCCCAGAAACAACACGCCAGAGTGACTCCTGTGTCACTCTGGCGTGTGTAGATTGACTGCAGATCAGTCAGATAAAATCAACATGACCTTAGTAAAAATTTTCTAGTATTCGAGATATTGCCACTTTTAAGCTTTTTCACAAAATCTCTACTTTTTGCTCTTTTTTGCCTGTTATTATTGCATCTTGTTTCAATATGAAAACCTTTACTAAAGTTTGACTAATTACTGTGAAAAAAAATTTACTAGACTGAATCGGCAAACGATCTTGAAAACTTAAATTTACTTAGATTTTTTGCAATATCATCAACTGATTCTTTTGGAAGATGTGCCTCTTGAGACAGGAAGGAGGATGAGGTTACAGAATGATAGGTGACCTGCAGACTACGCTAGTGCAGTAAGGGGGTATCTTGATGAAACATTCCCTAGAAGATGGATTGGCTGGCTAGGACCAATTTTGTTGCCCCCGCGCTCCCCAGACCTGAACCCTCTGGATTTTTTACTGGGGAAGTTTATAAGATAAGGTCTATGGAAAGCCGGTTCCATCAGCCGATGAATTGCGTCATCGAATCCGTCAAGCAGCACGCAAAATCTCCGATTTAAGTTTGAGATCTTTGAAAGGACAATTTTTCAGAAAATTAGGTTGTGTATAAAGGTCTGCGGTAGACATTTTGAAAATCTGTTGTGAAAGTAATAATAATTTATTGCCGGAAATATTTACTTAAAAATTTAATTTTCATTTAGTTAAATTAAAATGTTAATACTGATTCCTAATCCTTTATTTGATTTGAATGTTGTAAAAATCAATGGAAATAAAAAATACAACCTAATGTTCTGTTCATTATTTTGATGCCTACATAAAACAATGAATAAACAAGGATAATGGATAGCTGTTTTAGACATTGGCTAAAATAAAAAGCTATTTCAGCAACTACAAAGTTACTATTTTTTATTTGTAGTATTTCGCAAGTATTACGACTTCAATGACAGTTGGAATTATTCAGTTTTTAGTAAAAAAAAACAAATGTTATACTACTTTTGAAAGAGCATTAAATAGCTACTTTTTAATGTCATTTGCTGATTCAGTTTTGGAAATTTTTTCACAGTAATTAGTCAAACTTTAGCATTGAAACCAAATGTAAATTTAGTTTTTTTTAGCATACCGTACTCGCTTTCAATGAAATGAATACTCGGTTGTCTCAACAAACTATTAATTGTAGCCGAGGAAAAAAAATCATAAGTAAGAAGTTCTTTATAGCCATAACAGGCAAAAAGGTGCAAAATGTATGGATTTTTGATAAAACCTAAAAGTGGCAATATCTCGATAACTAGAAAACTTTTACTAAGGTCGTCTTGGTTTTTGTCTGATTGATCTGAAGCCAATCTACCTCCCGTGTCACTCTGATGTGTTATTTCTGGGACACCCTGTATATTAGTGCAATGGAGTTCAGACACTTGGAGTATTTCAAGCCCTCTTTCCAATTCCACTTGTCATTATTGGTAACCCACTGAACTGCTCTAAGTTACCTAACATAATATTATAGTTTGATGTGATATGCACGTAATAAGTGCAATACTTATCTGTCAATATAAGTATCATAATACATCATGTTTTAAATAAACTTTTAAAGGGCAAGATGAGAAAACTAGAATATCTACTATACAAATTTTTAAATCGCCACTCTAAGCTGAAAAAGTTCTAATATCTAAAAAGTATAGATTACGTCAAACGTTTCTGAATAGTTTTATGGTATCATACTCTCTAAACATTGGCGATTGAGCTCAAATTGTGAATAATTCCTATGAATTTCAAACAATCTAAAAATAATGTATCATATCTACCACTGCTGGAAGCCGAGAATACGGAAGTGTGAATCTTCCTTGATTATGCTAGTTGAATTATTAAAAAAACAATACGACTAGCTTGTATAAAACCAGATGGGACTTAAATAATGTCTGAGAGTTATCCTGAAATTTTTTTCATTTATCTGCGATTGTAACAGACATGCTTAAAATAAAAAATACGACATCAATTCGACAGAAATAGATCAGTTAAAAATGCGATTTGGAAAGTTTCTATTACTTTAACAGGATGATCGTAAATCATAGTGTATTCTGGACTAAAAAGCTTTCTCTAAATATTAACTTTGAGAGGCATTCGATTCCCAAGAAGTGCAGAATTCATTTATAATAAGTATTAGTTAGTATTAGTTGAAAAAATCGCGTTAGAATAGCGATTAAATATAGAGGGATGATGAGAGCTCATTTAAAAAAAATACACAAAATAACTCATTGTTATTTGGATTTAGGTAATAGCTTTTATAAACAAATGTAAACAGCGGATAACTCAAGCTTTGCCTTGCCGCTGTATCGCTCTGAATATTCAACAAAATTATCGTTTTTGATATGTGGGTATTTTTTTGCATTGGTAGATAAGAAAATAGGTAAACTAGTCATAGCATAACCTTGGCCAGTAAATCAATACAATGTGTTTTATTTGGTGTATAATTATGTTGATAAAAACCGCATTACTTTTTTCTCAGCATCGACAGGGTGTGCCAGAATATACGGGCATTTTTATATAATAAACAAGTATGCAAGAAATATTGTAACAAGGTTCCATAAAAGCGTTCTCTGCAGACCGAAATACCGGGGCACCGCGGCTGCTATAAGGAGGTAAAAGCAACTTTGTTAATCCTAAGTTGTAGTTCTTCAATCATCCTCTTAGCACCCGCGGTGCCCTGGTATTTAGACTTCTGCCTGCGAAGCTGCTTCGGTATAAAGAAAGGTCTGTACAGGGTGTTCCACGTAGAACTACAGCGATCGACTACTCGAACAGTTGGCGTACTTCAGGTTATGGTATAACTCATGTGAGGAATTCAGCTAAGAAATTTAAAAAATGATGACACTTCCACCGGAATTAGAGACCAACTTGCTTATTTTGAATGAAACACCCTGTATATTATTCAGTTTTTGGTATCTACACAAGATTTTAAATACATTTCATATATAACATTATATACCCAACCCTAATCCTTTTTGAGAAATGTCAAATTTTATGCAGGAAATCACAAATGCAGGTCCATAAAAGCCTCCGAATTTTTCGTATGTGTTTGTCTTTGTCGAACTGCTCCCTCATAGAAGGGGGGTCTGCTTTAATAGACTTCATTCCATATGTTGATAATTAATAATACCGGGTAGTCAAAAAATCGATAAAAAACAAATTTTAGAAAATGACAAAAGTATTTTTTTCAAATGGTAGCACCTGTTCCGTAAAAAGTTATCTACTCCGCAAATTAGTAGTTTAGTAAATATTCGAATAACTAACACTTTTATCTTTTACAGATGGATAACCGGACCATCACGACGCCAGTTCCTCAATACGATCAGAATTCGAGTGATACTGATTTGCTAAGTCAGTCAAATTATACTGAGATCATAACGGAGACTATTATTGTGTCAGACAGTGACAATATTTCATCCAACCTGACCTCAGTTATAGCAAAAAGTGCAACAAACAACGGATCAAGCTATGACGAATCGAATCTATATGTTGGCACGAATCAAATATCTTCTTATATAGCAACCGGCTTTTCACAGTTCGTGAATTCTACAGCAAATGCCCTATCAAACCTTGCAGAAACATATATAGAAAATATAAGAAACGACACAACATCCATCACAACAAATACTCTGGAAGTAGTTTCGTCCCCCAAGCCACTTTCGAAAAACAATGAACTGACTACCGTTATAGTTGATCAAGATTTATCATCTAATTACAACTCAACTGAAAACACTACAATTATTGCAGAACTTTTCAAGACATCTCCCTCATGGATCGAAACAAGCACTGTCAGTACCACCTCACCACTATTGGAGAATGCAACTGCAGAATCCAAAAGTATCCTCGCTCAGATCTCCGATTCAATCCAGGACGCCGGGACCTTCATTCTCAACAAGACAGAGTCCTTGTTTAACGGAAGTATTAGCATCGATGGAAGCTTGAGCAACAGTACTTCATCCAAGCAGGCTCAGGATGAACAAAATAATTTTCTGTATATAATCATAACTGTATGTATTTTAGTTGTGGTTGGGGTTTTGAGTGGAGCATTTCTTATAAAAAAAATGCATAACAAACAGAAGAGTTTTGATGTAACCATGATTAATAAAGCTTACCAGTGAATATACATACCAAGTGGTACATTTTTTAAAATAAATAGTAAATGTACCCTGGGAAAACTAGTATTTCGATGTCATTCTTGACAAAAGGATGACTTGTTGGAAAACAAAAAAAAAACAAATTCGAAATTACGTTCCGGCAGCTATACCCATTACTGTATAAACGTTCAAAATTAAGTTTGATTAGCAATGTTCGGCTCTATAAGGTGGTCATAAGACCAGAAATAATTACGCTGGTGCAGCTTGGTAATTTATTGCCAAAACACAAATGCGAAATCTGCAGGTTCTGCAAAGCTAAAATATTATCTTGTTCCTCTTCGCCATCTTCCTTCCTTCTCTCCTTTTTTGCTCAACATCGTCTGGTTTCTGGGTTACCACACCTGACAGACTTGCAAACTGATAGATTTCAAGATTTTAGATTAAACGCGCCTATCAAAGTGGCAGCAAATGCTCCAGCACTATCATGATGTCAATTTGAACTTATCGTTAGGAAGTAATAATCTAACGATACCATAATAAAATACTGTCGCCTAAATTGAAGGATTTCCTTATAGAAAATCTTGACCAAAATATGATAAATTTTTGTCTAAATTAGAGTTCGGCTGAATTAATAGAAATCAAAACGGTATTTTCTAATAAATACGACATGAAAAACATATAGTTATCAGTAGGAATTCATGACATATATCGTCAAGATCACGTGCCACTTCTAAATTTAACTGTTGCAAAATGAAAAATATCAAAAGAATTCAGGTTTACATATCTATGAAAAGGTATTTTTTTCAAAATCGGTCCTGAGATTACCTGCAAATGAAAACTTCGACAGACAGATAAATCGTCAGGCACTCCAAAAATTAGTGTGGTATTAATTAAAAAAAAAAACGTAACGCAAATCCGAAAATGATGAGCATCTAGAATAGAGATGCGACGGGTGCTTCTGTAATAATTCTTATACTTGACTTTTAATTGACTGAAAAATAGTATTACAGTCATTTTCATCAACATGCATTTACCAAGTGATTTTCGTTGTTATCCGTACCTCAATCGCTTTTTCGTACACTACAAAATATGTTTCAACAACTTTTTCATTTTTCCCGCGGTAAAAAAAAATCGATAAAATACGGTTCATCCCAAAAATCCGCTGCCAAATACAACAAAACACAGCATTAATGTTGTAAAAAAATGGAATTTCTTCAGGATAAAGGATCAGCGTATGTATGTAAGTAAGCAGTGTATGTCGTTCACATCAGTTGTTGCGTGATTGCTGCCTCGTTGGTCGATTACAGTGTGTCGTTGTTTATATCGTTATTCACATTGGAATAAAAAATGAGCGTTGAGGTAAGTGTTAAGTTTATACATATTTTGGCCCTTGACTGTGGCAAAATTTTACTGGCAAATAAACAATGTGATCTTCCAGTATTCCCCATGACCATAGAAGAAATAACAGACAAAATAATAAATCTTCATACCCTTTTTACGCATCATGGACACTAGGCACAGATTGATTTTCAACAATACTAGGTTAGCGATTCAGTGCTACCAACAACTGTATGAACCTGGAATGGTTGTCTGTCAAGGAATAACAACGAAATATTGAACCTCACTTCGCAAAAAAAAATGTAATATTTTTTTATAGTACTCAGATAGTTTTTACGAGCTCAGAGGTTTCATTTTCAAGAAGATACAGATACTTAATTTTTTGTGTTCGTACGATAATCAAACATTATAATTTCTGGCATAAGGATATTTTTGATGGAGCGTCGATGAAATTTGATAGATTCAAAATTGACATATGCAAATAATTATATTTTTTTATGTAAGAAGGATTGGGTCGATTTACTTGACAAAACTTAAAAACCATACAGAAACTGAAACCTAACATAATGGCCCTAATGAATAAAAATGTAGGAATTGCTTTGTCTTACAAAATTGACGGAAAAGCTTAAAAACCTATGAATAAAAATCTGAGTAATTGCTTTTGCCTTCAGCAATTGCTTAAAGTTGCAGCAATTGCTTTTAAATAAAGCTTTTTCTTTAAAAACACCAGCTATTGCTTAAACATGCTTAGAATGGGATGAATAAAACACGCAATTGCTTTTTCTAGTGTAGTAATTGCTATTAGATATTTAAAGTAGGTCGATCCCAGCTTGCATTTGCTTTTAGTGAAATTTTGTTCGTTCTACTACATATACAGATTGTTTTTACTGATTTGGAATTTGGTAGTTATGGCCGAATATATGAATATTCGTGTAAAAAAAGTATACAGTGTACGTAAAGAGTGCCGAGACAATGATTTACGAAAATTATATCGGTTTAATCGCGAAAATGTGGAGTGGAGTTATTTTTTGGCTGACAGCGGTGAAAAGCGAGGAGGAGCATTATCAGATGTGAATAAGATGAACATTTTTCTGCGTCAGTTGTCAGACCCTGGCTTTCAAAATGCCGTTGCTGAAGAGCTTGGTGTTCACCAGACTACTGTTTGTAAAACATATACTTCCGTCCTAAACGCCGTTTTGGAGAAGGCCAACATTTGGATTAAATTCCCGAAAAGTGCTGAAGACTTTATGGATGCTAAACAACTGTGGTCGGAGAGATACCGTTTCCCAAATTCTATCGGCGCAATAGATTGTACGCATGTCAGGATTCCAAAGTTTGCTAAATTCGGTGACGAATATATAAACAGGAAAGGATATCCTAGCATCAACATACAGGCAACTTGCAATACCAAAGAAATATTTACAAGTGTAGACTGTCAATGGCCAGGCTCTGTACATGACAGCAGAATATTTAAAAATTACAATATATTCAACATTCTTAAAAACAGCACCGAAGAATGTGTATTATTAGGGGATGATGGCTATTCTATATCCCCTTGGATTATGACTCCCTGGAGAAATCCAACAATCCCAGAACAGCAAAATTATAATAACGTTTTTTGTCGAGAAGGAGTAATAATTGAACGATGCTTTGGGCTATTAAAAGCAAGATTTCCTGTCCTACAGTATAAAATCCGGAATAAATTAGAAAAAATACCATCGACAATAATTTCCTGCGTTGTTCTTCATAACATAGCTAAATGTTTAAATGATGAAGATTTTGATTACGTGCATCATGAAGCTGATGCTGAAATTAACTTAGACACTGTCAATTTAACTATAAATTTAATTCGACAATTTGGACAACAAAATAGGCAAATAGTGACTGAAATGCTCTTCAATTATCATGTAAGTAACAACTGGTACTTAAATTACGTGTAGGTACACAATTAAAACAAATCATAAATACTGCACCGTTATTAAACAAATGGAAACAGAACAATATAATTCTTATGTACCTATATTCAACTTAAATTCAGATTTTATTAATTTTTGATACTCGATGTAAACCCAAATTAAAAATTAAATCCTAAATTAAATAATTAATAATAATTACAAGTTGTAATACATTTTTTCCTCCGAAAAACTACTGTTTGGCATAAAGATACCATCACATTGCTTCTATCTCTTAATGATTTCTCCTTGTTGCATTCGACATAATTTCAACTGCTCTAATAGAACTAATCGCTGCAACTCAGCAGTTGATAATTTTTGGGTTTCTTCAGTTTCTGGTAAATGTGACATCTTAATTTTCTTTGCAGGAATAGTAATTTCTTTTGCACTTGAGGGGGCCAGAGTGTCACTGATGGCCGAGGTGGAGGATTCAGCAAGTGTTATGCTTTCGTTGGCTCCCACAGAGATAGCACCTGAATGATTTATTTTGATGTTTAAAAAACCTACGATATAATAAAGTTTAATTTGCTTTACCTAGTATTTTTTTGAAGATGGGATTCTTCTGTACTTCCAACATTTCCATTAACAACTTTTCCCAAGACTTATAGATTATGGCTTTATTGCCTGTCTTATTAATATCAAATTTCTTCTTTATTTCGGTCCTCATATTACTTATTTTTTTTGGTAACTGCTTTATTGTAAGTGTCGCGTTAAAAATATCTTTATAATGTTGTACTAAAATTTTTAAAGCGGCCTCCTTTTCTATTTTAAGTTGTGAAACTTGCGATTTATTAAGAACGATTTTATGTTCTTTTAATTTATGCACAAATAACAACTGCTTATCCATTTCTTCCTCATCATGGGATTCGTCACTTCCACTTGAATCAGCCATAATTATCACTGCTTTTTTAGTTTTTTACCAAAAAACATGTTCCTAATCCCACCTACCCCAAGTTATGCCAAATGTAAGAAACTCGGAACTAAACTGAAATAAATGCGCGTATCGACTCCTAAACAAACTTGCAAGTCTAAACGCGTTGAACACATACATATATAAGCAATTGCTTTTAAGATTCGGGAAATGCAGCATTTGCTTAAAAATATTATTCATTGCTTTTCCTTACAGCAATTGCTAGTTAAGCAATTGCTTTTGCCAAAAAGTAATTGCTTAAAATAATTGCTTAGTTTTTATTCATTAGGCACAATGACTGGATTCCGAGTTTACGTCAGAAATTCCTCGCCGAACAAAAAATTGCATCCTGAAAAATATTCTGGAATGTATGTTATTATATACTTTAGTCCTTTGAAAAGTTTAAAAGTCCGATGTTTTTCAGTTCTTGGTCTATATTAGATCTTTTAAATACCCAAACAGTCCAAAAGCTTGGCAATCATGCATTTTTTTCAACGAAAAGTTTCAGGGCAGACTAAGAGCAATTTGTCGACTTCAAATATGCCCTAGGCGCCTAGACAATGAACTCAACTTTATAAATTGCAATAATTCACCACCGTTAATGACAGCAGATGCATGTCGAGCTCGAGATTCTCCATTAGACTGTTTTTTCATACATGAGGTCAAATAGTCATAAGCGGTTCAAGCAGCCATGTCCTGTAATAACATCTGAAAAGTACACGAACATCCCGAAAACGTGGCAACCACGCTCATTGCATGTCATAAAACATTCCTTTTTGATCTGTGCACTGTATTTCAAAAATACATAGTTTTCGAGTCTTTGGACCGACCGTGTACGAGTACTTTTAACACGTATACATTACTAATGACTAATAACCGCTTGACGGCATGTATGAAGATGGATTCTGATGTAAAATCTCGAGCTTAACAGGAATTTCGTGGTGGTTGCTATTTGAATTTACAAAGATGAACTCCAAATGACCTAGGTCATATTTGAGGTCATCGACAAACTGCTTTTTTGATGCTACTCTGAAACTTTTCTTAGATCTCCTTTTCCAAAATATGCTCTATCCAGAGTAAAAGGTCTATCAAAATAAGACCGGTTCTGGTAATAGGTGGTACTTTGTGCAGTTTTAATTCAATAACAATGTTTCTGTTCTAAATCAATATGGTATATATAATAACTGAATCAAAATTAGGTATTATTTTAAATAAAATAAAGATAATTTGAAGAAAAATTCAAAGGTGCGAACATGTCTATAACACATTTCGTTTTTAGTAACCCTTATCGCCTTTATTGTTATTGAATATTCCGATTGTTCTGTAAGTGAATTTAAAAAACTTTATTACCATCCACTTCATTAACAGAAAATATCGCGAACAGTAGGAGTTTATGTCCCGGCAGTTCCTTGGAATCTGAGGTAATTTCTAAATTTTTTGTAATCCTGTTGCTAGCTGATTTAATTTCCTCCACCAACGAAAGCTACAAGGTCGCTTAAGACGATGACAGTAAAATTAAAATAGAAAAACGGTTTGCTTAACAGAAAATAGAAGACTGTATAACACATGATAATTCCAAAGCATGGGTCAAAAATTTGAGGGGCTATACTTTGGGCTATTTAATACGTGTTTTACCAACGTGACGGTGATTTATTTGAGAAAAAATGTTATTTCGCCCCGAAGGTATAAAATAGGACCTATTCTAATTGTTTATAAGGAAAAAACAGATGCACCTTTAGCCACGCGGCGGATTATAAGAAAATCTGGGATATCTTTCGATACGATGAAGGCAAGGAAGGCCAAATTTCTCAAATAAATTAGTAACAAGTACATTTTTTCAAAAACGGCTGAGTGATTTTGAATCGTTTTTTTTTCTGTTAAGCAACACAGAGGTTTTAACCTTTGGATTTTATTTCAGAATTAACTTTACGCATTATCCAATAAAAAAAGAAGGAATCCACGGTTTTTTAAGTTTTTTTTCGTTCACATACCTTTGGCCGTGTAAGGTCGCATTTTAAAAGTATTTTCATTCCATAGAACTTTCTTTGAGCTATTTACATCAGTCTTTGTCAACTATTTGAATATACCCTAAACAGCCAACTTTGAAGTTTAATAAAAGTTAGTCTGCAAAATTTTTTGTATCTCATGGTGAGGAGCCTTTTCTTATAACCCCAAGAATATAATTCCGACGTAAATCATCTTATTAAATTTTTTTCTGAAACGAGGTATATTTTTGGCCAGTTAGCTTGGTGCAATTATCTCACTTGCGACTAATTTATTACATATTTATAACCATATTGACTGGACTATTATTCGATTTTAATTCCGCACCGTTGACGGTCTCGACTGTGACTGACTGTTTCCGCCACCTGGTCCAATATTTATGTAGTGAATCGACTGTTTCCGATAGACTCCAGCATTTTCTAGAAAAAACTCGATTCCTCCTCGAAGCTGGTAGATGGCGGTAGGTGCTTCCAGACAGGTCTCAATTATATTCTTGAATCTCGGTCTAACTTTCTAAATAGTGCGTAGCTGGTTGCCCAAGCGTCGACTTCCGGAGAGCGCTCCACAGTCACCCAAGGTCCAAGCTATACGAAAGCATTACAATGTGCATTGTAATTACGATAACTTCAAAACTTGGGTTCAGCTTTAGTCACAAAATCCGTGATACTGGTATATATCGGCCCGTTAGTCGTCACGCAATGGGGTCGTAGAATATAGTGTTATATTCTTGAAAATTGTTACACGGACAATGAGAAACAAAAAATAATCAGTTTAATAAAAGGATCTTCCGGGAGGAGTAGGTTTTCAAAAAACTTGTTTTTTACTTACCAAGAAGTACCGAGTCAAACTACTTAACTCTTGATTACTTGCTACATATAATATCATCATACTCCAACGCTAAAAAACAGATTTATCAAGCGGCAACTAAAATAGATTTGTGAAGTATAATATTATATTTGGAAACTTATTTAGCTCGAATGTCATCCTATATTTAGCTTTGGAGATACAAGGAGGAAAATGACCTTCGACTTAAAAATGCCTAATTCAGGTCATATTTGTTATGCACCGAAAAATATGAGAATAATTCAAGTTATTGGAGATACCAATAATAAATAGACGCGGACTTGATCTGCGACGTATTCCGCTTTAGGGCGCAACACTGAATGTCTCGCCTACTTACCCCACCGCCTCTCACCCTTCTCTACCTCTAGCCGCTTGACATAATATAAACAAAATAATACAATAATGAATCAAAAATCAACTGATCAGTTATCGTTAATATTTGTTACCTCATCATACTTTCCTGCAACTTTATGTTAAAGTATTTCCATAACCTTGACTATATCTTTTACAGGATATTGAATGGCCAGAAACTTTTGTGGACGCCCTCCAATCCACACGACAAAATACTGAACATCCAACAACACATGAGATGAATCTTTTACAATCATCATCAGTCACAGGGCCAACAATGTCAACCGTAAGAACAACAGTTACGGCGATATCCCAGATCACCACTAAAGCTGTTACCAAAGCTACTGAAATACTTAACAGTACAACAGAAACTATTGCAACATCTGTTGGAGAAGATGTAACCAATACAAGTACTGAATCTACAACTATGGAATCAGATAAAATCACTGCTACCAGTGGAACTATTACAGAAGAAACAACACTTACTATTATGTCATCAACGATAACTGAAAAATCAGCAACTTCTTTGGCTGACACGATTGTTACCTCAAGTACCAATCAAGATAGTCCATCAACTACTGAATCAATGTTAGGTCAAATTCAAAATATGCTGAACAGTCAAATCAACAGCCCAGATCCTGCTGTTGATGCTGATTCAGACCATGATCTTACAATCCAAGAAAACTTCACAATTTATATCATTGTAGCAGCTGTTCTACTGGTTAGCCTTCTATTGGTTGTTGGCTTATATATAACATATAAAAAACATAAAAGATGTCATAAAGCCCATGAGAGTTACAACGTAAGAGTGTCTGAATTGAATGAATATAGTCCATCACCAATCAAGTCAGACCCTGAAAGCTGCAAAATGTAATCACTTTACTGTGTTTCTGTTACCAAACTATTTTCACATATACTTGTAAATTGTATTTAAATAGGGGCTAAAATTGTATTGGTGATTTCAAAAACCATTTATATCTATTTTTTTCCAATATCCTTTTTTATTACAAACTAAAGCTAGATGGGATTGTTTATGTACACTTTCTTCTTGTGTAACGCCAACATGTGAGTGCCCAAAAAAGCTGAAAATAACTATTAATTAGCTTTATTAGAATCACCAAAAATAAAAATATGGTTGAATAATAATTTATAAGCTGAGAACATCTAATTTAAAATTAATCAGAATATAGTGTTATTCAGGAAATTACTCAGTTCTGTAATAGTGACTTACCACTATTTACAGGTTAAAATCATTCATTAGTCAGCAGCACTAGGGTAGCAATATGTTCTGATGAATGCAACCAATGCATTTGGCAAACTTTAATGGGCCTCCCTAACATGTATGTCATCACAAATGTGATCAGCATTATAAGCTCATCTTTTAAAATATATGGCAACTAACACATGGCACCAAGTGGTTTTGCCAATAGTAGTCGCCATGTCAATTGGTTGCCATACATTTCAATAGCTTAGTTTGGCTATAGTTGCTGGTGTCACCATCATAGCATCACAGTGAGGGCCTTAAAGCCAATTTACCAAGCAAAATATTGAGGGCAGCCAATGAAATACATGAAAATATACTTCTCTATTTTCTTATACTTTTCTTTTTATAATTAAGTTCCCTCATGACAATAGTCAAGACTTCAAGTAAAAGCAACAAAAAAAATTAGGAGTTTTGTACCATCATTGAAAGTTCCCAAAATTTTATATACACCTTAACCACAATTTATATACTTATACATTTGTTATAACGTTATATGATAATGAATAAAAACTATAAAAAATTAGTCATCAATACATTTCTAGTAATAATTTCATTCCCATAAAATACAAATAAACTTACGTTTGGTCTGTGTGCTGCCAAAAGCAGACTGTGAAGTATTTCCAAAAGAAAATGCCATAGCTTCCGTATACAGAATCAAATAAAGTTAGTTAAACGCAACTAAAAATTTATGTTTAGTTATGAGAAGTTCAAATTCTTCAAAAATGTTTAAATAAACATAAAATAGCCTAACCCTGCCAAATTTAAATCGTCAATGACAAACATGACATCCGTCAAAATTAACTGCAGGTTGCCAGATATACAACGTTTGCTGTCAATCTACAAATAGGCTTTGTGGATTCTTTCGTGTGGCAACCAATGACCCAGCAAAACTATTTTTTGCGAAAGTAAATCCATTAAGCTTAGCTGATATGACGTTTTTCAACTGATCGCGTAGTTTTCAATGAGGATAAGGATAGATGTTTGATGTAAAAGTATTAATCTATTAAATTAGCTTAAAATTCGTTGACCGTAGCAAATACTTCATATAGTTTTGAGCAATAGTACATCTATTCTTTGAGGTGTCTAGATAAATAAATTGTATGTTTCACGAGTATCCAGTACAGTAGAATAACAGCTGATTATCAAAATTTCCCTTATCGACACACAATTTTGACGTCAGCGCCAGGTAGACAGAGCCGTATTTTGTGGTGTTTTTGTAAGCTGTGCACTTGGTATTTATTTTATTGTTAAAATTCCCAGTCACTAATAGTATCTATAGATATGTGAACAACATATCTGAACCCGAACCTTAGTTTTACTCGATTCACACTCGATTCATTACTCCAACATTACAGACCAATACAAACATGTCACTTGCTGATCACCTGTTTACCTCGGTAGACGTCAAAACGTGAAATAGGCTGTACCGTGTACTGAAAGTTGTCGACTGTAGAAGGTGAGCCAGTGGTGAGAGAAGGGGGTAAGGTCGCTATTTTCAGGTTCTTCCACGCATCTCGTAAACTAATAATATCATTACAGTTCCTTCTACATCAATGGCCTACTTGATGGCATAACAACAAATTATGTTATTTACATTTTAACTGTGGGATCAGTACCTCAGGAGCTACATGGTATCTTGATTGATAAGAATAAAACAGGTACACATTTTTAAAAAATACAAGCCCAACAGCAACATCTGAAAAGACTGATTTTTCAATTGTGCTGTCAAGACAAAACAAGTCGAAATCTGTCAAGCTGTTTGGTCTGCATCCCGTGAAATTGAAATTTCAAAGCTGAATAAGTTTGAAATCCGCCATTTGGACTTTATGAAATTTTGCTTTACCCCAGTATCACTCGCACTGTTAAAACGAATCTAGAAACACTACAAAATCCATCAAGTAGTTGCGCGTGAAATTGAAATTTATGATTTGAAATTTTTGATTGAAATCCTTCACTTTTTGTCGGTGTAGGAATATTCATTTGAATCAAATTGTTCATGCTTTTAATTTATATTTATATATAATCTGTTATATACAGTCTGGAATTACCTACAATTCCAAAAAAAAACATCATAATCTCACAATAGAAGAGCGTTAACGCTGACACGGAACAAAAGAAATCTAGAAATACCCCAGCTTTACTAAAAGAGAGAAAAGACTGAAATTCAAGGAGGTCATAAAGTCGTCTTACAATAGAGGAACGACTGAGGATACAACCCTCTAAGAACGTCTTTTCCCGATCTGGTCTTTATACCTGGCAACGTCGCATAACCATTTGACATTTCAATGTATCTCCGGGGAAAAAGCACAATTTCCAGTTTTGACTTTGACAGATTGAACAAGACTGCCGAGTATCAAGCCCAAGTGGTAGAGTAGTCGAGTTTTACATATTTGTATTTCGCAAAAAAACTACTATTAAAATTAGGAAACATCTTTGTGACATCGGGAAACGACCTGCAACATCCTTTAATTCTCTCATTCCTTTCACTGCCATTTATTCTGGACCTCTGAAACTTTGGAAATGGCAGAAAGCAACAGTGAACTTAGCGATGAGGATATAATCATCAACGATCAGGACGGACTCCCGAATGTTCATCCCAACCTTATTCCAGAGGCGGAAATATCTAGTCCAGAGCAGCATCAGTCGGATGATGAATTTGAAGATCTGCCTACTTCACTTATAGTCACCAATATTCATGATTCGGTATTTGCTTCTTCAGGTGAGTGAGTTAATACTTATATCAACCTGACCTGAACAAAAAGTGAACAGAAAAGTAAGTAATTGATTAGTTTGCTGAATCAAGAAAAATTAAAGTTTTCTGTACTGGGTTGTCCCTATTTTATAAACGGAAATTTTGAGTCACCAAAATACATCTTTCTAGTTGTATCCAGTATACTATAGAATGACTCATACCTCATATAATATGATAGAAAATCCCAGGAAAATTAAAAACACCTGCTTTGCATCAGATTTGGAGCTTCCAAAATTATATGTTATCAAAAATGTTTTGAAAAGAAAAAATGGTTCAGTGTGAACAAAAGATTATCATATTACAAAGCTGGGAGGTAGGTATATCAGAAAAAAATAGTAATAAAAAAGTTTCCATGAACTCAGGTACAGTTAGGAGTAATAGTCTTGGTCCAATGAGAAGAATGTTGCATAATCAAAATACCTTTTACATTAGGCCTACATGATTGCAGTGTTTTATCACAATTTTTTATAAATAAACTTGGTAGAAAAGCTAACTAAAGAATACCTTATTCATATTCTATCTCCAATAATGAAACAGTGAAATTTAGTTGTTTTGTCGATAATAAAAAACTACTTGCAAATATCAAATTAGAATCGTGGACAGCAGTGTACTGTGCAACGAATGTTAATGATGCTGCAAACACACTCATTGAACGCATAAAATATTTAATTGAATGTAGTACAAACAGAGTTAAAATTAAACATTTTGACAAAAGCAGGAATCCCTGGATAACTAAAGGTTTGATAAAGTCTGCCAACAAAAAAGAGGAACTATACAAAATAATGAAAGCATCGCCATGTGCAGATACCTCCCATAAATATAAAGAATATAAAAATATTTTTATCAATCTAGTTAGAGAAGCAAAACGCTAATTCTATCTAAAAAAATTACAAGATGCCAAATCTGATCCAAGAAAACTGTGGTCAGTTGTCGATCACTTAACTAACAAAGACGTTCAAGAAAAGCCAAATATTGATGAAATTAAGAATCGTGATGGAACAATATTAACAGATAAACGACAAATATCCGATGCATTCTTAAATTTTTTCACTAATGTTGGAGAAAATTTAGCATCCAGTATTAAAAAAATGGTTTCGAACGAAAAGTTCACAAAAACCCAACTTTCCAATTCATTCTTTTTAGAAAGCGTTAGTCCGATTGAAATACAAGAAGCTGTCCTATCACTTAAAACCAAAAAAAGTCCTGGTGTAGATGGTATCAAAGCTGACCATTTAAAAATAATAGCCTATGACTTAGCCGAAAAACTTTCTTACGTCATTAATTGGTGTTTCCAATCTGGAATTTGTCCTGATGCATTTAAAACAACTGTTATTACTCCTGTTTATAAAAGCGGTGACAGAATGGAAACATCAAATTATAGACCCATATCAGTACTATCGAATATAGCCAAAATTTTCGAAAAATTACTACAAAAAAGGATATTACAATTTTTGGACAAAAATAAAATTATATGTTCTGACCAATATGGATTTAGAAAAGGAAAATCTACTACAGATGCAATTTTGGCTGCAATGGATGAAATTAACTCTAATGTCAACAAAAAGATACCTACTATTGGTATCTTTGTTGATCTAAAAAATGCCTTTGATACGGTTAACCATGTCGAGCTTCTGAAAGTTATGGAAAGATTGGGATTTAGGGGAGCATCACAAATCCTTTTAAAAAATTACCTTTCAAGTCGGGCACAGACTGTCAAAATCACTAACACTTACAGTAAAAAAATGTACATCAAGTGTGGTGTGCCTCAAGGAACAGTACTAGGCCCACTATTATTTAGTCTCTACTTAAATGACATTCAAAATTAACAGTTCTGGTAAGATTATATGTTTTGCAGATGACACCCTCGTATTATATAAAGCTGATGACTGGAGCACACTGAAGCAAATAGCTGAACAGGATTTTATAAGGATCATTGACTGGTTTGATACTAAAATTTTAACAGTTAACTTCAAAAAAACAAAATTTGTTGCATTTACATCCTATTCAAAATTTGTACCTACCTTCGAACAAATTTCCGTTAATTATCATGGCCAAAAGACCAAAATCAATAGAGTTAACACTTTGAAATATCTTGGAATATTTATAGACTCACATCTAAGGTGGGATAACCATATTAAATATGTTATCAAAAAAATTAGAAATGTTGCCTATAAACTCAAAATGCTTGCTAACATTCTTACAGAAAGTTATCTGCGAATCCTATACCATGCCTTAGTTGAAACCCATATAATATACGGCATCACAGCCTCGGGTGCCGCCTGCAAGACATATATTTCTGACCTGAATATAGCACAAAAAACTGTTTTGAAAGCCATTTTCCATAAGCCAAGATTATATCCATCGAACAACTTATATCAAGAAACAGGGATACTTGATATAAGACAACTTTATTTCTTACATGTCACCACCTTATACCATAAGTATTGTAATAAAAAGAAAAAATCCTATAAACACGAGCATAACACACGATTTCGAATAGGCTCATCTAATATCCAAAGACCACACAAAACATTATTCAAAAAATCATTTAAATTCTTAGCAGCTAAATTATATAATGTAGTACCAAACGAAATAAAGATACTTAATTTTGGAAAAAAATTTAGAAGAAAATTGAAAGACTGGGTTAGTAATGTGCAGCGAATGACTATACATAATTATATAGAAAACTAAAACTACAAAATTCCAATTACATTAATACCTTTTAGATTTAACAATAATTGGTATACACATATATGATTGATTGTTAGTTATTAAGATATAAACCACACACAGGCGATGCCTTCTGTAGTTTTTTCATATTTATTTGCCCATTTTTTGTATTTTGGCGAATAAATATTATTATTATTATTATTATATTATTATTATTATATGTGATTTTTTTTAACAGTTTTCACAAATGATATTTGATACATAAACACTACAGCTACATAAAATACAAGTGGTTTCTAATACAATCAGTGCCTCATACAGCATTTTATACTACTTTGGACCTCTGGTAATCCGACGAACATTATGCAGGGCAGTGTCGGATTATAGAGCACTACCTAAGACCCCCTATAGTCCGGAATTTTTTACAAATGAGTACCTTGTAATCCGACAAATTACATATCCAATGGTCAGATTATATATGTTATGTATATGTATGTACTTTGAAGTACAAATCATACATAGTTTATGTATGTCGAATTTAGTAAATTAAATAACAATAGAGAGCTTACGTTTTATTATAAAATTAAGCATAAATGCACATACGTATGTACCAAAATAATCAAGAATTATTAATCAAAATCATTAATGAATTTATCAAATTATGAAGCTTGGAAATATTCATCAATTTTTTTTTTGTTTAAGGTTGTTATACCGCTAGATCAGAGCTTTGTCCCTCAGTTTTCTCAAAAGTAAAAGTTCGTTGTAGGATGTACCATTCTCTTCAGCCCATTGTAAACCTAGCTCAAAGGCGTTAATTGTGTCTTGTGCTGTGACTTCTGGAGAAGTTGTAATCACATCGTCGTTATTTTCCTGATTGTTTGTTGTATAATTAGAAACCTCTTTTATAATCTCTTCGTCAGACATTTCATGAAACACATTTTCCTCTTTATCTATTCCACGGCACCAGATTTCCAAATCTTCCGGACATATCTGTGTTGCAGTAGCGACTTGTTCTATAACTTCTGAAGTAACACTGATTTGTGGAACGTTGCTAGGAGTGGTGACTATATCTGGCCATAACTTTTTTCAAGACGATTTTATAGTTGATGACGGTAACGCGTTCCACGACTGACAAAGAGCAAAAACCTAGTCTTTCATATTAAATTCTTTTAAGTTTTTTCTATTGGTTGGTCTTTTGATACGGCTCTCAGAAGTAGGTTTTTCTTATAGTCTTGCTTGACAAACTGAATAATATTCTGGTCCATTAGTTGAATCAGTGCAGTGCAATTTGGCGGAAGAAACATCGCAGTGATGCATTTATCCTCAGTTGTTCTTCTTCAGACGGATGACCGGGAGCGTTATCAAGAAGTAACAACGCTTTTTGAGGAAAATTATTATCTTTTAACCATTTTCTAACTTGTATGAAGCATTCATCAAACCATTTTTTGAAAAGGTCGTTTGTCATCCATGCACTTTTTTGTCCGTAATAGTGTACAGGTAAATCAATGTTTTTGAATGCCCGTGGTTTATTAGATTTCCCAATGACCATCATCTTAAGCGCGTGTGTGCACGCAGCGTTAGCACATGGTAGTATGGTTACACGCTCTTTACTTACTTTTCGTCCAGGTACGGATTTTTCGTTACAAGAAACGAAAGTTTTGTTAGACATCACACGCCAAAAAAGCCCTGATTCGTCTGCATTGTACACCTGTGATGGGTCAAGATTTAAATCGTTCACCTTTTGCAAAAATCTTAATTTAAAGGGCTCTGTGCAGGTGGCATCGTTAGAAAGTTTCTCTCCTGTAATAGTCATTAAACGTATGCCATGACGACTTTTAAAACATTCTAGCCGTCCTTTGCTGGCCACAAAATCATCTTTTTTTGTTATTTCCTCATAAAAAAAACTTAGCTTTCATGGCCAACATGGGTCCTGAAATTGGTGCATGCCTATTTCTCTCCTGAAGAAACCACATGTATAAAGCTTCTTCCACTTCTGGATGTTCAGCTTTCTTGAGTGTCTGTCTCTTACCTGGCCCTCAGTCAGTAGTTGACACGAACTTCTTGATGTTCTCGTGGTTTCTTTTAATGTCATAAACTGTAGATCGGCCTACGCCGTATTCACTTGCTAAACTACTGAAAGTATCATTGCTATTTAAGCTGTCTAAAATATCACATTTTTCTTTAATTGTCAATGTTTTGTGCTTTCGCTTCTGAGTTTGTGATGACAAATAGTGAACAATGAACGCACGCTAGGCCGTACCGCTATCACCAGTAGTCAAATTCAAACTAAGTAAAACAATGCTTACGCGTCGAGCACGATAGCGGTGGCGCGTACAAGTTGTAACCTGTTCAAACCTGCGTGATCTACATTAGCGAAGATTGTCAAAGACATGTCGGATTACAGGGGGCGCCGGATTATCGGGGGTCCACTGTATACTTTGTCATTGATCATCAGAGGGGTCCAGTGGACCTTTGCTCTTAGTTAAAAGTCTTGTTGGTCTGTTATCTGTCAGGTACTAAACATGTTTAGGTGGAAAAGGAAAAGAGAGAAGAAAAGGAAGGAAGAAATAGAGCAAAGAAAGGAAGTAAATTATTTGAAATCGCTTAAGCATTATTGCTTTGACTACTCCAAAAATAATTATGACTGGTTTTGTATACTGAAATAATTTTGGTTGGTCTGAAATTCACAATTTAATTTTGATCCTAGTGAGAGGCGCGCCTGGAATGTTTGTCAACAGCATTTTTTATGATACTTCATTGTATCAAACATGGCAAATACTAGCTGATTATCTGGTACACTCAAAATATCTAATGTTGGCAAATGACACAAACTACTAAAGACAAACTCGTATTTTGTTGTGGTTGTTTTGTATAGAATGGATTCATACTTGCTAACAATGCTTTTGTTTAAAAAATTTCCTATGCTTAAAAGAAAGATGATACAAGCAATATGGCTGCTAATGATCATGACTATAGTTGTAGTCACCATTCTTGGCTGGTCAAAGTAAGACTACCAGTATTCCTTTATATATCTCCATCTCGCTCATACATACACATGCAACCTACCCCTTTGTGTGAATGTTTGTTAATTAAGACATACATTTTTTAGATGTGTTCCTCTATCTCGAAAACTTTGTTGTTATGTATGAGTGCCCTTCAATCATATTTGTCAGAGTGACAACTTACTTGATATCGGCGTGCAATTTGTTATTAACCTTCAATATAAAATTGTACAATGTCAGAAAATATGATCAATGGAGAAGGCAGACAGCTCGTGCTAAATTTATTTGAGTATTTCCAGGAAGAGAATGGGAACAGCGGTCCCCTGTTACTCACTTCATGTGTACTGAAGAGAGTAGCAGATGCGCTGATGATTAGTCTGCACAGTGTTCAGCAAATAAAATCAGAAAATAAGAAAGGTTATGTACCGCCCATGGTACGATCTGTTTACTTATTTCATATGGCGTTGATGACGTACCCGCTAAGAACGATGACTACAACTATATATTTCAAGTAAGGTATGAACAAAAAGAGTTTTTGACTATGTTAATAATCACAACTGCTTAGAACTTGAAAAGAATATGACTTCAAAGTGAATTTAAACTGCCATGCAATTAGTTCACAATGAGTGTTAGTATATGACCGAATTGATAGGAGTAAAATTACAGCTACTGGAAAGGATAATGCAGTCTGTTCTATTGATTTTCCTCTTAAGACGTATGCACTCCTAGAATCCTGAATTAAAATTCGTGAAAACTCGCTGGCACATCGCTAATGGGATATTAGACATCTCGGAAATGTTGAGCAGAAAAAAAAATTATGCAGTTGTGGAAAGAAAAAATTACCGAGCATTGCTGTGTAGCGATTAGAATAAAGTGTGTTCGAAGAAATAGGGTCCGATCATTCCTTCAGCCGACATGGCCGCCCAAATTGTAACAATGCAAATGCAAAGCTCGTTGATGTTTGAATTTGGGATTTTCTGCGGCCCAATACCGTTAGTTTTGCTTGTTGACAAATCCGCTCAAAATAAAATATTGTTCAAACTTGGAAAGCGCTCTAACACTATTTCGGCCAACGCACGGCGTAGATGGTGGTCCTGCGGTTTCAATTCCTGCACTAGTTGAAGTTTATATGGGTGCAGTTTAAGGTCTTTTACCAAAAATGCGGTTTCCTCTGTTCATATTGACCTTGGACGCAGGCCTCTGATTCAGTGTCGAACCAGTAGACTCGAACTTTCTGACGCACAACCGGAGAACACCTTTATTAGGACATTGATTTAGATCATGTAAACTAAACTCAGAGCGAAACAGATGCCGCTCAATAATACACGAATCTCCATGTTTGTAATAAGCCTTAACACAGAACGCACTCTGCTCACCGGTGAAACGCTCCATGGCGACTAAATTTTAGAGAAGCAAGCTACTTACTTCACTACCCGCGTCCCGCTTACCTGTCACGAGCAATGCGGTTCTGAAAAAAAAATCTCAGTCACTGAAAGCTTGTTGGTATGAGAATAAAAAATTGGCGTTTGGTATAAACAGTTCCGAATTTCATCCAATTTATTATTGCCAACAGTGCCAACTTTTATACAAATATGTCACTTGGTGATCAGCTGTATACATCAATAGATGTCGAAACATAATAAAGTATGGTGAAAAGTACTGTAGTACAAGTTGTAATTATAAGTTATAGTTTTTTTTAGGCTACGTAAACTACATTTAGAAAAAAATTCTGAAATAAATTTATACACGTTTTACATCAACAATTTCTTCACAAATTTATTCAGATGGATTTCTTCAAGGTCATCCTGATTGTTTTACAGTGTTTCCATCAATGGATTATCTGTCAGCACTCAGCACAGCCAACCACACAGCAAATTCTTGCTAGAAACATTTTGAACTTTTATGTCTATTGTGGTTTTGATTTTGAGGTGGACGTCATACACAGAAACTATATCGTTGAATACTGTAGTTTTATCAAAGTTCTGTACTTGAATTGAAAAGTTGTTCAGCATAATGGAAATGAAAACAAGGTTAGCACCATGGAATTTGACATCCAGCTTGGCAAATATGGATTGATTTGATGTGAAATCCCTGTCTTACTCTTTGAAATTTAACCATGAACTCAATTCAAGAAGAAATCTGTGGATTTATTGTCAGAGTAAAATGGGTATTATAGTTAATATTTCATTTTGTAGTGGCAATAGACATAGGTAATGTTATTGTAGAATTTCTGGAAACAAGTAATAAGCATTTAATGAAAAAATATCTTGAATATTGACGGTTATGTTAATGAGGTACATTTTTAGTTTTTTTAACATTTACTTCAGATAAAAAAAGAGAAATGGAGGAGCTGTTTCGCAAATATGATCCAGGAGTAACCTTTCAGTGGCTGCGTAGTTTTAGAAGACTTCGTGTCAACTTCCAGACAGCTTATGCTGCTGTTACTGCTAGGATTCAGTTGCACCAGTTCAAATTCAATGATTCGGTAAGTAGTTTAATACTTGGTATCCTCAGCTACAATGCGTTTTAATTTTCATGCAAATAATGAATTAATACATGAAGATAAACATATTCATTCCAGAAAGTTATATAGTTACATTTAAACCAACTATAGAAAAAATGAAAATTGCTTCTTAAGTATTCCTTATTTTATTTTGTTCAAAGGTGATCACATGTTACTTCGCCCAACCAGTGACGCCAGTGAAAAATCCCAGTCTTCAGCCTCCGGCGCCATATAAGCAGTTCCTTATCTCGCCGCCGGCCTCTCCTCCTTTAGATTGGGAGCCGAGACCTGAGGGAGAGCCGATTATCAACCATGACCTATTGGCAGCACTTGCCACGCTTACGCCTGGTGGTAAGTAGTTCACTTGCAAACTTCATAAAAAAGCAAACTATTTCCACACAGCTCAAGTTTATGCCTGTTAGGGTTGCCATCAGTCCGGGATTTCCTGGATTTGTCGTGGTTCAGAGGGCATCTGTGGTGCCATCCAGAAGGGGTTTTAAAAAAATGTCCAAGGATTCCCCAACTACTTGAAATAAAAGATACAGACCTCTTGAATTACTCATCAAATCAAAAATAAGTCGTTGCCGCATGTCGATGGGCCAGGGGGGAATGCAGATGTAAACAAAGCCTGAAATTGGCTAATTGATATGCAAAATTACATGTTCGATCCAGTGGCTTATCATATGGTCGGTATTTGAGGTCAGAGTCGGATTTGGAAGTATGAACATTTCATTTTTTAATACTGTTCAGTGTGGCAGATTAAAGAAAAAGGGCGTAGTCGGCAATTTTTCAAGAAAGCCTACTTGTTCCCTTGTTCGGTACGTCATATACATCAAGTGATAAATTCTTAGGTTTATTTGTTTTATTTTATATAGTAAATCAGAATCAAGTAACTTTGAATCCTCGTCTTATTTTTTTTGTTCTGGGATAAAAATGCTACTTCTCAGTAAGGCATTGCAGTCAGTAGTGGCGATTTTATGATTTAGCAGTAAAAAATAGATTATTTTCATTCAATTATATATGTCAGACCAGGCATCTCTCACTTGAAAAAAATGATCAGCATCTTGTTAAAAAAATAAAAAAGCCAAGTGAATTAAACATGTGTCTTGCTGCTACAGTTCAGATGTATCAAAGTATCGACAGGTATGAAGGGAAAAAATTGTTGCACAAAAAGTATGCATTGCTTAGAAAATATGCAGTTTTGATTAATTTGAGGAATGATGTGCAAAATCGGAGTCGAAAAGCATTGAAACATCCAAATTGGGGTTAGGGAATAACAACCACGCCACAAAAAAAAACATAAACATAACATATACTTACCTCCTGATGAAACGAAAAATGTTGTTCTTGTGGGCTATAATTTTCAATAAGTAGCAGTGGCTCGCCCTTATTAATTCCACAAACACACAATCATTGCCAATAAAAATAAAGAAAACTCGAATGACAAGTCGCTCTGTCAACACAAAAACTCACAATGACATAATCATTTAAATGAATGAAACCTTTACCAATCTTCTAGGATAACTACGTATACAACGTTGTCAAACGTTGCTGCCAACGTTGTCAAATGTTGCTGCTTCAGAATCGTCCAACTAGTTGCGAAATTGCATTTTTGCTAAAGCAACCTAATAACTAATTATTTTTCTCATCGTGTAAATAAAAGTTCATATCTATACATTTACCCATTAACTTATTAATAGGTACTGAATACCAACTATATATATATATATATATATATATATATATATATATGTATGTATGTATATATATAAAGCATTTTTGAACCATTGAGGGAAATGCAACATGGCAAATTTCCGAGGAAATGTCTGTAAAAATCAGAATGTAAATAGGTCTAGTCAGTAGTCCCACATAAGTAGGTTTATAGGTACTTTGATCTTTTTCTTTGATCTGTATGTTTTGAGATCTATTTTTATTTTCATATATTCGCTATAGCAAAGTAGCCGTTACTACAAATAATCACTGCTTTACTGCCCTACTAGTCTAATGTCAAAATAAACGCAGGTACTCATGAACTCCATCCGTCATCGCCTGGCCAACCGTCCATCGTGGTGCATACGGCCTTGGGAGCTCCAGACTCAAAAGGAGCCACTCCTAAAGGCACTAAACCAAGATGTATCCAGACAGCATGTCCGGAAAGGAGTTAATCTCTGATTGTGTATGTAAGTATATAGGTTACCTCTCTCCTGTTACCCCTGTATGAGTAGGTGATGCGATCGCAGTATTGCTGCCTTACCAGTGGCGAAGTTATAGACACAGCCGCGCAAGATTGTCTTGTCATGATGTGTTCAGTTCATAGAACTTATTTATTTGATATAAGCAAATATTAAGCACCATATGAGGACAGAATTTACACTGTGCCACTTATATTGTATACATTCTATCATTTTATTTTCATATAAAGTAATAAACATTAGGAAAGATGGGTATATTTGTTTTTGCTTTCATTTTAAAGGGTTTCATGTATAATAGTCTATAGTATTATATATGCATGGTTTACTCAACATTTTATCCACATGTTTTTCATAGTGGTACATTACACACGTGGTTTCAGAAGTGAACTTATTAGGCGATGAGGTATAGATTTTCCAGTATTAACATTATACATATATTACAAAATATTTAGTTTTACATTCGATTCTTACGTTTTCAAGTTTTTTGACAAATACTTTGAAGTATCTAATTGCAAGTAAACTAATTAACGTTTAAAGCCATCTGGCAATATTATGCCCATTATTGGGGTATTCAAGAGAGATTGCCTGATGAGGAGCTATACTCCTTATTTCTCGATGGGTTTCAAATATTTTGAAATATAATTTTCAGGTTTCATAGTGACAGAGAAATTTACCTGATATTTATACTTTTACAACTAATTCATTATTTACTCAGATGCTTTTTTATTGTTCATATTTACCTAGAAAGTGGACTGCAATAGGGTGCGATCATCCGCAAGAGATAACTTTTTTTGAAGAGTGGAGGTAACAATTTTTTTTTCGGGATTTTTTTTCAGGGGGAGGGGATCCAAAAAAATCTCCAAAATTATACTAAATATGCAATTTTTATGGCTCAACCGGATCATCAGGGACGGGTGGGAGCAGCTTCACCCCCCCCCCCCTGTGGGCGCCCATGAACACAGGAAAAATCAACGCATCGAGCTAATTTTAAAAACTTAATCATCATCTTGAGATGTTTGTTGGAATAAAATTCTTTATACTTGAATACCTTCCTTCTACCTCACAATCCACAAGGCTCGCACAACTGGTAGGGTAGTTACACTGTGTTCAAAACAAAGGTATGACATCTTGGTTGTATATAAGCTAAAACTCAAGTTTGAAGTGCAGTTAATATGTTATTTCCTTTATTATCTATTATTCTATTGATTTGATATAGCAGGAGGGCCAAATCACACGAAAATATATTTCAAAAAACCACAACCACAACATTCGAGCGGTACGCACAGAATGATCGTGGAACAGTGTTGCCAGAATTTATGATCGAAGTGTACTAGCCTTGAGCCGAAAAATGTACTAGATTATAATAAATTGTACTAGATTCAGTTTAAGCTGCTGCTCACACTATTTACTATTTTTAATATAAAATACATGTGAGGATAAATAGGAAATAACAGGCAAAATAATATTATATATATATATACATATTTAAAAACTGAATATAAAACAAAAAACAATATAAAAACTAGATCTAAGGAATCATATACCTAAAACTACTAAAATAAGTAAACATAATAAAAATCAAATTAAAATCTTTGGTATTCTTAGGAACTAAACAGAACAACCATTTTTTATACATATAATAATAATAATATATGTACACAGAACACAGAATGTTCGAAAGTACACAAGGTATTTTTTTGGGGATGATTGACATTTTGACACACCACACGAAGTGTCATAATTTATTTGTAAACAATCTGTCTACGACAAAGAGACTGTGACGGTTCCCAAGAATAACAGAAGCATTCTCCTAAATTTCCTTTTGCATGTAAAATATCATTAAGTGTTTCTATCGTCAATCTATTTCTTAATTTTGTTTTTAACAAAGCCACTGTTGAAAATATTCTTTCGGCCGCTGCTGAAGAATGCGGTAGAGATAACAAACCTATTATCAGCTTTTCTAAATGTGGGAACATGTCCTCGTTCATTGCATTTTTTAGTTTTAAAACTTTAGACCAGAAATCGTCAACTGAATTTTGATCTATGTTCTTCAGCTCTGCAATGTCTGGTAGAAGGCGCCATTCAGAATTGAGTTTCTCTATGTCGGAAATTAAATTTGGGAAAAACATTTGAGCATCTAACGCAATGCTACCAACCTCACCTGATAAGGCGATCTGCGGATCCAACACATAACTTATAAATTTGAGAACTGGGTCATCAAAATTGAATCGTTTTTTGATCTGTTGGGAGAGTTCGATATAAAATTCCAGAACTCGTAATTTAAAGTTATGAATATCTTGCTTGCAAATATTAGGGTTACTCAGTAACAGTTCTGTTTTGGCACCAAAATATACATTTTCTAATGGAATAAATGATCTTGGATCATTTGTATCAATTTGATTCAATGGTTGGTTATCTAGAATTTTTTTTTTAACAAAATTCCTGAGAATTGATCTATATAAATCAGATGTTCGTTTTAAAAGCAGATGCAATTTTGGTTTCTCAGCTTGGAATTCTATATTCAGTTTATTTACCTGTTCTAATACATAGGAAAGGAAAGTAAAATATACCTTGAATATTGGATTTTCCAAAGAGTCCATAATACTTTTGGTAGCATGAAGATCTTCTTCCAAATATTCACTCTGAAAAAAAAGTCTTAGGGCATCCCAGTTCTCTAGCAACCTATCGACAGCAGCCTAAAAAAATAAAGATTCAACTGATACATCTTAGTTCACTGTAGAAATATATAGTTAGTCTTACTTGCAAAGATAACCAACGTGTCTGACAAGGGTGTAAAATTTTAGGTGGTTTTAAGTCTACAAACTTCTGAAATTCTTCCAGCTTCTCCTTTCTTTTACTACTATGTGCAAAGTAGTTATATATAGACCTTATGAAATCCTCCAATGTTCTTGGTAACTTTTTTGCTGCTGCTGAGGAGCATAAGTGAAAAGAATGGCAGACACATCCGAGAATAAAAATATTGGGCAATATGGTTCTAAATCTTGCTTGGACCCCTGAGATATGGCCCATCATTACTGATGCATTATCTGCTGCCAATCCCAACATGTTGTCCAAAGGAATGTTAAGTTGTTTTAAGTGATCACATATAGCTTTAAATAGACTTTCTGCATCTGCTGAGAGTACCCTGACCAAACCCAAGAAAACTTCTTTAGATCTATTTTGTAAAACGTCAAAATATCGTGCAACAACAACTAGTGATTTTTGTGACGATATGTCTGTTGTTTCATCCACAATTAAAGAGAATTTTTGTTTTTGAAGTAACTGAGACATTGAAAATTGATGTTCTTCAGCAATACATCGAGTAAGATTTGTCGCCTTTGTCCTAGCACATTTTAGTTCTTTTGCGATTGTAGAATCGGGACATATGACAGATAGTAATAATATTAAATGATCCATAAGGATAAATGGCAAATTGTGCTCATGGATAAACATAGTTAGTTTCAATTCTGCTCTACGTACACTCTTTAAAACATCATTATTTTCACAGTAATTTTCAATGGTTGGTGTCTTTTTTGCTTTTATGATGTTTTTTTCATGAGTCTGGGATGATGCATGTCGTCCTAAATGTTTAAAACCTCCAGCAATAAATCTTGAGCAAGCTTTACAGAATGATTGTTGTTTTTTTTCTTCTAACCAAGGATAGATTCGTATCCACTCTGATCTAAATTTTTGTTTGTAGTGTTTTTTCCTCTTTTTCTCCACCTGAGGCGTGCTAGGAATTTCTTCAGACGAAGTCATACTATCTGTATTCTCGGAAGAACTAACGGCTGATGTACTTGCTACTTCAGTTGTAGGTTCTTTTTTCTTCTTCAAAAACCTATAAAAATTATTCTGTTTGTAACAAAAATATTGCACTTTGCAATTGCAAATTTAGAAAATTCAATTAGGTGATAATATTATTTACCTGTCCATAATGGAAACCCCTTGATCTGAGATGAGAATCGGAGCAACTAACTAAAGGGATAGGGGATTACCAATAAGCAATAAGCCACACACGTATGTTAATAACAACAAACCATTTAAGCCAAAGAAAAGACCTATAACTGAATGTAAATTCGGTGTTTATGGTTTGTTTTCAAATTTTTAAATTGCACACCCTTCTAACCTTCTTTCTACTATGCCTAGTGATGGGATCATTCGAATGAAAAATAATCGGTCATTCGATTATCAAAATCATTCGAGATATCTCGAATACTTCAACCAAATGATTCGAATGATAATTCACTCTTCAATCAAATGTGTGACCGCTCGAAACAAAATAAAACCGATGCTGCCGCTGCGCGTCTCGCACCAGATGTCTCGAGCGATCATTCGTGAATCATCTTTCGCATGCAGCAACGCGTGAGCAGTGAGCCCAGCCGTATCTATGAAATAATTGGCGGTCTGGCCCGAAAAGTGGTAGGCAGGGCCGGCGTTAGGAACATAGGTGTAACATAGAGTACATAGACTGTTAAGAATCAAAATATATAAATAAATGTGTAGTGTGAAAACAAAAAACTATTACTATGCATTATTGTCTAACATACGTGAGTTCTATGTTAAATGATTTCCGAGCGCACGAAAAAAAGTGGGAGGGGGGGCGGCAGAATTGGGCTTGCCCGTGACGTCAAAAGTCTTAGCGCCGGCCCTGGTGGTAGGTATATTTCGACAATTTCGACTGAAATAGGAAGAGCTACCAAAAAAATGCGCTTGAGAATTTATGTTGTCGCATCGTAATTTTATTATTATGTGTGGTAATATAATCGAATCACAAATCTAAATTTTCAAGCGCATTCTTTTGATAGCTCTTTCTATTTCGATCGAACTATTTTTTTTATTAGTTGGGAATAACAATATAGCCTTAGCAGATTTCTCTCAATAGTTTTTTTAACGTATATTATGTGCCAAGTGGCGAAAGTTTATTTCAATTTTATGCATATTAGTTTATCTGATTATTAATTATATTTATAACAGCAGTAATTTATATTGATTTGATAATTTCATATTCTATCTTGGTGTTAAAACTTAAAACCTCAAACTCAATACATGATTGGAATTGAGCATTCATTACCTATAACTTTATTCCTTGCAACAAAATATGTAATAATAATAATAATAAATCTGCTTGGAAATATGTAACATAATAACAGAAAAATAAAACTAATGTTAACAAAAAGTTTATTTAACTTTGGTTTAAAACTGGAAAAATAAACATTTATTCCTAAAACAAACTTATTGTTCTGAACAGTAAAATAAAACTTAATTACATTTCTTAAACTTTGATTTAAAACTGCAAACATAATATATTATTATATAGGTTAATTTCTAAAACAAAATATTAGAATAATAATAAAATAAAATAATAAAATTAAACTTCATGACATAACAAAATATTTGTACCATACAAACATAAACTCTGAATTAATAATACTAGTCTAAATTAGAACTATTTAAAAAAATTATTTGGTCTAAGTTTTTTGGAGATAGGCGATTTCGTCTTAAGTTGGTTAGTTGTCCACATTTCGAAAATATCCTCTCCGAGGGTACAGATGTACCAGGAACTGTTAAATATTTAAGTGCAAGCTCATAGAGCTCAGGCATACTTTGTTTGTGTGCTTTCCAAAATTCTAATGGATTTTCTTTTCGATTTACAAAAGGCAGTTCCAAGTATTGACGAATTATTAAGGTAGCAACAGTAGTAGGGGTAACTGTCGACTTCACTGTAGATAACCTTGTGTCAAAATTTAACCAAACTCCGAAATCATTGTCTTTGGATGGATTTTGATTACTTAAGTCATCTTCCTGTCTATTTTCCTCCAAGTCATTTATATTTAGTTCATTTTTCTTTCTTATCAGTTGGACCAGTTCTTCAAACACCCATTTCTGAGCATTAGAAGAATTCGTTTCGTTCCCGAATCCCAACTTTTTGAACCTTGGGTCCAAAAATGAACACTTCGCGACAGTCTTATTTACTTCAAGAATTCCAAGACGACGTGAAATAATATCTACTAAATCATTTTTTAAAAGAGTGCAGACCTCATTTTCAGTACTGAAACGTACTAGCGCATGCTGCAATCCTCTTATGAGTGGTATTATTGAAGACATTGTAGGGTACTTTTCGCCAGATAGGATTGTGGTGATAACCTCCACTGGCTTCAAAATAGGAATTAAATCTTTTATTATAGTCCATTCTTGAGCATCTAAAAATTCTGGAGCACTGGAAATACTGGTAATAGTAATACTCAAGGAATCTTTTATCACCAATAATCTTTCCAGCATTACTAGACAAGAATTCCATCTTGTAGGAACATCTTGCTTCACTTTAAGAACAGGAAGCCCCATCTGCTCTTGCACCGCTTTCAATTTATTAGAAGCATTGTTGCTGTGTTTAAAATGTCCAACAATACTCCTACATTTTTTAGTATCGCGCTTAATAAGGGCTTTCCATTAAGTGCCTCATTTACACTCAAATTAAGAGTGTGGGCCACACATGGATGGTGATGTTTGTTCAGTATTTGCACTGCAGTTTTTATGTTTGCAGCATTATCTGAAACAATTGTAGACACCTTTTCAAATATGTCCCATTCTTGCAAAACTTCTTTTACGGATAATGCTAGATTTTCTCCTGTATGAGAATGTAGCATTTCCCTTGTAGCTAAAGCATTGGAATGCATTTTGTCACTATATATAAAATGGCAAGTAATAGTGATATATGATTTATTACTATCTGAACTCCAACAGTCCGTAGTGATTGCAATATTATTTGTTTCGCGCAACATATTTTTTAATTTTAATTTTTCTCTTTCGTATAATTGTGGGATAAGCATGCTTGAAAGCTTTTTCCTACTCGGCAAATTATATAATGGTTGAAGCCTTTTAGAATATTCAATAAAGCCTTCGTCTTCGACAATAGATAAAGGCTGATAGTCTTTTACTATCATTTTTACAAGGGCATTATCTATTTCAATTATGTCCACGTCAGTCAATTCATTGGTTTTAGCGCCAAATAATTTTAATTGCTTTCTTCGCTTTAGGGGTGGAGGATGGAATGTTGAGTCATTCGATGAACCCGTTCGATTTTCTCCTATTATTTCATCGGTTTTACTTGATGGACCAGCTTCATCTTCTTTGTGCTTGAATGAATTCACTTTTTGGTCATTATTGTCTAAATCCTTGTCGTTATTGGGTGGTTCATTTGCTAATAATTGAGTTGCATGCAATCGCTTCAAATGTTGATTCAAATTTGTAGTATTCCCAAAAAATTTTAGTTCTTTTTTGCAAATATTGCATTGCACAAAATTTGTGTTGGAAGATTTTTTAAAATATTCCCAAACGACGGATTTTTTAGCACCAGGTCTCATAATTCTATCAGGCATGGGCAAATTATAATAAATCGGTATTTAACGAATTTGATTTACGCTGTGGCTAGAGACCCGGTACCGGTAACAAAATTATTCCCGGTAGAATTGTTGCAATTAAAACATAATAATAAAAAGTACAATTATTTTTTCACAGAAAAACTTACACTTAGATTTATTTTAAGGCACTGGATATTCGTCCGTACATGTGCGGTCGATGTGACGTTTTGTTTAAACGGCCGCACATTCGATATTCTTGCCTAAGTTCGATCAGGTGAATGGTTTATTGAAATGTTAGTACATATTGAAATATTATTAAAACCTCTAAAGAAAGCGCTAACCTAACCGGACGATTAATTTATTTTAAGCAGTGCAAATTAAAACATGTACGGCCGTTTAAACAAAACGTCACGTCGACCGCACATGTACGGACGAATATACACTACCTTATTTTAATTTACCCAAGCCTGATAAAGTTAGTATTAAACAAAACAGACAAGACGAACGTAAATCACCCGCAAAAGAAAAACACCACTGAGCGAAACACCACCCGTCACGTCACGAAGTTCGAAAACAACTAAAACAAAATCATTCATCAGTGTTGCCACAGCGTTGTGGCCAAATTACTTGCAAGTACCAGACAGTTTTACTTGCAATTCCTTGCAAATACCTGACAGTTTACTTGCAATTACTGGCAAAGTTCAATGTTTTTATTCGTTTAGTTATGACAGGTATTCGAATCTCCTTCAGGTCTAATTCTACCGATTCTACCGCTGAATGAATTTTTGGTGAACCTGTGCTATGACTTCTCATACCTCCAAACACAACCTCCAATTCCGAGTGACGAGTGTTCCGCAAAAATAGATGTATATCTACCGACTGATTGATTCACGATGAGTATTCATATTTCAGTCAGTACGGCCATTTTTACTCCTCAGTGCTCTGCTAAGACTCAAGACTGCTGCGGCTTGACAGTCACAGCGGCTTTATGGTCCCGAGAAAAATGACAGATAACAGAAGCACCTACTTAGTGATCATGCGTTCTATCCCGATTTGTTTTTTCACTTCAGCTGGCTCGGCTCCATGTTCTAGGTTGAATCCCGCACGCCGTATCATAGAATGTTATGCTAATATGGCAACTGTTACGAATGTTTTAATCCATAAAATATGAACATCGCATCAATTACTTGCAAATTCCTCCAGAGCACCCATTCCTTGCAAGTTTACTTGCAAAGCTCCTCATTCCTTGCAAATGCAAGTAATTACTGGCAAAGCGGCAACACTGCAATCGTTGTTCAAATCGCTCGCGGCGTCGCGGCAGCGAGAAACGAGAATCAGAAATCAGAACTGCTGACTGAACGATGTTTACAACATGTGAATGATCATTCGAGTGATATATCGATTCTTAAAATCATTCGAATACTAACTATCCGATTATTAGAATCATTCGATTCTGCCCATAGCTAACTATGCCCCTCCCAAACAGTCTGTCATCTGTCATTAGTTTCAATAATTTCTGGCTGCGTGGCTGCCTAATTTCTGCACACGATAATAGGCAACCCAGAATACACCATACACGCCAAACATGCGAAAATGATTTGTTTTACAGTTTAAGTTCAATTCTAATGATACTTTTCATTTCATCAGGGCAAAATTGTTGTGCTTCATGTTTTACTAGTCTGAACTAAAGTTGTTATTGAAAAATTCGAAAGTCGTACTAGATTTTCAACAAAACGTACTAGCGTACAAAATCATGTTAAAATGTACTAGATCTAGTACATTTGTACTAGACTGGCAACACTGTCGTGGAACGATGGATCACTGGCGTGCCGACTGTGGACGGCAGCGGTTGCGATTCTATAAGTATGATTTAGAACTGTTATAATTTTGCTATCGAGGTTTTTATAATTTTGATTCTAACACTTTGCAACCTGAAAGATTCACGATATTACAAAATTTGTGTGTGATTAGTCTATAAATCCTAACATTTTTAAACTACAGTATCGTAACTGCACTTTAAATCTGAATATTGTACAGGATGCAAGTGCGCTACAAAACTAAGTAAGATCTGTTTTTATCTTGTCAATTTTCTCAAATCAGTATGTTTATTTTTGTGAACAAAGCTGGTTTTTGCCAAGCTGAAATTAAATGCGTATTTTGAAAGAACACAAAAAGTATAAATGCCACTATATTCGTTTTCCAGAAAATTTAAAAGAGTATCCGTATTTAGTAAACCATACATGAAATGTTGAATACTTTAAACATTATTTCCTAGTTTTTCGTTTGCCGCTAATATTACAGAATATGTCCAAGATTCCCGTTCTTAAAACAAGTGAAAGGAATCTAGCTTTGCTCCTTTTAACCATGGTCCTGGATAAAATTATTCATATAAGCTTTCCACTGTAACAATCTACGTATCTGCACGAAAATTAGATTTGTCCATTTAGGAATTGCAAAAATGGCGAGGATTAGTGGTTTTGTGAAGTATACTAATCGGAGAATTTGTGACAATTGAGCTGCAACTTGATCACTTCAAACTTTAGCTTTTTCAACAGAATAAACATACATGTTAGCTAAGGCAACTTTTGTTCTTATTTTATTAGAAAAATATGTTTATTCCACTGTATTGCTCGAATATGTAATTACTGTTTTACATATTTGACAGTTTTAAAGACGTAGCAATATGAAAAGTCAAATAAAATAGGAAATTAATAAATACGCTTGGTACAGCTCTCGTTTCGTTCCTAGGGCAACTTTAGATATTCACATTCACTTTTCTTTCTTTGCACTTATGTTATTTATATTTACTTACTATATAAAACTATATTTATCTATTTTAAAAGCTTTCGTTGTGATATAGTTTTAGACAACATCTTGTGTTTTAGTCTTTTTGATTTTACTAATGCAGTATGCTAAGTGATCATTTTCGGTGGTATTTGGTTAAGGAATTGCATAGATACTTCTTCGCCAAGGAAACTGAAAAAATGAAAACTTGAATAACTCCAAGCAATAGTCTTTTTGCTTACAATATTTAATAGTAATGAATGATCTCTTGCATACTTCTCGTACTCCGTTTATTTCAGCAGTAATTACATACAATTGGTTCTCCAAGCAGTTTCTTTCTATGTTTTACACTTTTCTACTTTTTCATATAAAGGTAAATATTATGTTGGGAAAGAATAAAGTAAGAAAGAACCTGGACAAAACAGATTCAAATAGAAACTAGAAAGTGGCAATGCATATCATACATACATTATGAGACCTACAAATATCCTAAATACTCAGCAACATGTTGCATTGTGTTAATTGTCATTATTGTCAATATCAGCAGATGCCTGAAATAAATTATATATATTCGTTATGTCTGAATGTATAGATATTCATGTTTTCTGAATCCACCTATAGCAATTTATATAGCGCATAAAAATACATAGAACTGTTTTTTAATCCGCAAAGCCTCGTTTTTCGAAAGATGCTCAATCTTGAAGATTTAAATGCAATAACTTCACGATTTTCAAATCTGTATTAAAGGATACAAAATGAATCCAAAATATGTTTACCATGTGCTTCCTCATGCCATCAACAATCTTTAGTTACGGCTTATTGACTGCTGTTGCGCGACAATGTCACCCAACAATGTTTGACATCGCCGAGTCATCAATTATTTCTGTTTAGGTATGCAAAAATTCTAGATCTAAACGTCGATATATCGATAAATTGATATTTTTTTGTGATTCATAGAGTTTAATGAGCTAATAGATAACGTTCTTTATTCTTGTGTGGATGTTAACACTAACATTTTTCAGAATAGATGAGTTTTTATGGATACTACCTACCGGCAACATTCAGTTTTCTATTTCGCGGACTGCCCCTAGTTTGACCTAACATTTAGTTCCTCCACTATTCAAACTACAAATCCAAAACCATCCAAACATACCCATAATCAAACATAACCAGAAACGTGGCCATTACGAAATTAGCATACACACTAAAAGAAGTGCTCTAGATCAAACCCATATAATATACTATTAAATGAGGGTCGTGGCGACATTCAACCTATATGAGTTCTAGCTTTTAAAATCCAGTTCATTGAATTGAGGGTCATGGCGACATACAGCCTTTTGAACTATATGAAGAACTCCAGCTTTTAAAATTGACTTCACCAGACTCTGTCAACGATGCAGGACACTTTATCCAGTACATTTTAGAAAATAATTTGGAGGTAGAATATCCAAATAATAATAACACAATCAACATCATTCTCATAGTTCCTGTCAGTACAGATTCTATTGAGAGAAGCTTCTTAAAGCTAAAGTTGATGAGAACTATGATGAGCCAAGAGACACACTCCATGTCCTATCAAATCTATCAATTGAAACGGAAATATCAAACAATTCAGTGAGGCCAAAAACCAAAAAGTTCTATTTTTAATTTGTATTTGTTTATTTGATATTTGTCATTACTTGATTAGCGATAAAACGTACTAATATATTAGTGTGTAACCCAGCTCGATAAATTTAACGTTTAAAGTTTTTTTTTTGACTGGGAAATGGAAGGGGTCTCGCAAAGCTGATGTCGCCGACATCCATATATTATGGCCTAGCGCCACCACTGGGGCTAGTTGAACAGCGCAACTGTCTGATTGCGACTTTTTTGCATCATAAATATGTTGAATATTATTGGGCAACACTGTCGCCCGATATAAATGGCGTGCATAAATTGGCTCTTATTAATATTAAGATAGTTTCACTGTGATTGATGAAAGTTGATTAACAGAAAATAAAAACGCCAGGGAAACACATCAGATACTACAGAATCCTTTTTGTAACGGCAATAAAATCAAAATACCTTCTAGAATGTTTTTTTGGTGGATATTAGACAAAATGAAAAATCGAGTCTGTTACCTGTTTTCAAAATTGTTCATTTGTTAACTACAACGAATACGCTCTATTTCCGAAATATACCTGAGATTTCTGTGTTTATACATATATGTAAAGAAAAATTAACGAATGAATTATTCTGAATGTAAAAACTTATATATGTAAATAAATTATAACGTTTTATTGTTGCAAAGGGTTTCATTTACTACAACAAATGATCGTACAGGTGCGGATTAAGTGACTACATTATAAATGGATAAAGGAATGTCACATATTGCTCATTTTCTACATATTTTTTTTTGAGAAAAACAAATTTTTGGCTCGATTTTTCGAAATAATGTTGACATGTGACATAAAGAAGTTGCAGAGCAAGCAATCAAATTTTGGATCAAACGATTTTCGAGTTACAGCTGAAAATTTTGGAAAAAACACTCTACTCTTACTGACCACGCCCTAGGCGAAGGATAAGTGGCTACAGTCGAGACAGGTACATCGTTCACCATGCTTGTTACTTGTTAAGTATTGGATGTTATTATTGATATTAAGATTCTTTGTTGTGATCAGATTGTTAGACTTGGTTAAAATGCCTAATCCCATGTTCCGCTATCAAGCTAACATGCGTTAACTGAAGAGGAATTATCTAAAAGCAAGGTAAGTATTGTAAAGCTTAATAAAGCTATAATATAGAGAAACCTCCTGTGGGTCCTGCTGCAGACGCGAAGGTAGAAGCCTAAATATCAGAGCACTGAGGCTGCTATGAGGAGCTTAAAGAAGCTTTGTTAATCCGATTTTTTAACTGCCGAAGATTAGTTGAACTGGGAAAAGCCTTCGAAAGTAGATTGTTCCCGTAATCTCGATACCCTAAGGATAAGGGAGCGGACGTATCGACCAGTTCTGGATGCACGAAATTCGTCACGGTTAGGATGGGAGGCCGAAGTCCGGCGGGTCTGTCTGGCAGGCACATCGCGCAGTGGCATCATGGAACGGAGCTCTGAAGAGCAAATTCCGTTGGCGTAGCGGTAGAAGAAGATAGATTGCCGGCGACCCGTCGGATTGTTTTTTTGATAGAAGATGTCATCACAACTTGTTTTGTATGAACAACTTTGCCTCTAAAGCGGTACAAACTTATCGGATTATTGCCTGTGACCAGTGGTTCTATCGGAAGATGACAGTAGAAAATGGTGCACTGACCGGTGGGACGTCTCGCGGCCAGTTGAATATTTTTTGCCATTCTGGCAACGTTGCGTTATAACGCCATGATGGATAGGCGTGTTGCCGTTAACGAAATTGTACCATGTAGCTGTACTGGAAATTATTACGCGGCTACACAAATTTCTCAATTAAGTTAATTTTGGTAGAATTGTATAGGTACACAGATTGAGGAATACATTTCGATGCTTAATATCTGAAGGTGTATGTAGGGTGACTGGTAATTCGACGTATTCATTGGAAAAGTTATTGGGGGTCATTCGCCATAAATGAACCTCCATTACCTCTGGGTATCAAAAATAAGTCTGACCCGAGTTGTCCACGTCATAAGATGTTTTACCGAAAACATCCCCGGAAACAAGTCTGCAAAAAAGTTTCAATTTCAGGCAGTGAGCTGAAATACTAGTAATTATTTTGGAAGCAGTTCTGGCCCGAAATTTTCATTTTTGCAGAAATGGTGTAACTTAAATTACAAAAAATAATTTTTCTGTTTTCTTGGAAAATCGACCCAATTTATTTCTGCTCTATTGAGAATATTGGAGCTTCCGAGAGAATATCATTTGAGAGTCTAAAATAATTTTCCTTTTTCGCGCATTAATGCGCGTGATCAAATGATAAATTTCTCAATTCTATATTTTGACGTATGACATTATTGTCGTCGGGCTAATAGAACTCTGGGAAAATTCCTCCGGACGCCCTTGGAATTAGGTAGGGTATGCGCCTCCGAGACACGAAGATCAAAGGGACCGACAGTGGCTGTCACATCTGTATAGTCTTTGTGAGCATGATTGATGGCGCAGTTATCGATGCGAGTACCAAGTCAAGAGCAGAGTATCTGAGGTTATAGTACAAGATGCGGCCGCTTCAATCTGCAGGGTTACTTTTGCCAGACAACCTTTTAATCAGTTCTTCTAACATTTATCAAAAAACAGATTCCTGCAGAGCGACCTGATCTTAGACTATCAGAAAAGTGTCCATATGGCGGGGTTGTCAAAGCACAGCGTTGCCAGATGGGTGGGACAGGATTTGCTCAAAACAAGGGCACAAATCCCTCAGAGTTTTTTAGATTAAAATGTAATTGCATGAAATTTTCTCTAGTTAATGGCCTACGTGTAGGCAGAGCCATGCTAATTTGCCATATTTGGTTTAACAACGTTATCATGCTAATTCTGTATGAGATTTAATAATACTGTAACGACATCATCCTGCTTTCAGTAATTTCTCTAATTCAGCGTATAACGTTTCCTGCAATCTGGTTAAATGAAAGGAAACTTGCTTGAATTTTAGATTCCTTACTACCGTGGTTGTCTTCAATATGTATGTATGTGCTGTGAATATATAACCTTTTTGATTTTATCAGTCGTAATTAGAGGACGAACAATAAAATTTAGATAGGATCATAAGGGGAAAAATAAAACTGAGCCAATTTTAGTTATTATCTTAATCTGTAAAATATTCATTTACATCACGTTTCTATTTACAATTATTCTAATTGCTAGAAAGAAGTACATTTCTATAAAATATATATTCTACAATCTTGTAAAACAATATACAAAATTGTATTTTTCCAAGGCAGCATCTGAACACACAGTCTTCAAATATACTAGCCAAAAGGCATAAATCTATTCCTATCAGTAACGAACTCATTCGCAAAACAGTACTTTCGCAAAGACAGGCCAAAAAAAGGAGCCACTGTTGACCTGCGATTTGAGCAGAAATTAAGAGTAAGTACCTGGTGATTTTTTTTAAAATCTGTTTCGCAAGCAGAATTTTAAATTTTTGCAAAAACCTAAAATAACAACCGCAGCACAACATGTATATCTGTAAAACTACCACCATGTTCTTTTACAAGGTGTCGCAGACTCAGATGGCAATCTCTAGGAAAATACAAAAATAATACCAAAAAAGTGTATAAAACAAATGTCGTACCGTGTTCCCCTATGGACTGCAGGCACCCGAAAGCACGATACTGAAAATAAATGGACGGAATTATGCAGAAAACGTTTTACATGTCATTGCATGCAAGCTCTTGCAGTTGAAAGACGGCATTGATTTATGTGCAAGACAATTGCATCCAATCATTTGCAGTTGCAAGCCGGGCCTGTTTTCTGGATTCAAATGAGCAAGGTTGGTCCATATAAACTAATGAAATATTCTCTATCAGATTTCTAACCAAAAACTTTGTTTTTTATTTTTTACCCTTCAGGACACGGCTTTAATATCCAAAAGCTATCCAACTGATTTTTATGTAAAACCCCGGCAGTTGCAAGAAAATGACTAGAATAGTCATCTGTTTTGTTAGTGCACATGCATCTGATCAACATTTCTCTTGCTCTTGCTAACTGTAAAACGTGTATAATTCAACGAAATTTTGACAGCATAGGTGATGCCTCACAAGAGGATCTCCATGGAAGAAAGTCAGTTGATTTAGATCGCGCCTTAACGCAATATTGCTGGTTTGCCTAATTCTATATCACAAAAATGGCGTCAAGTAGGTTGACTCTGCACTTTCCATGCAACGCCTTTATCAGTTCATAAAGTATTATGTTCAGCACAAACTAGAACCTCTGAGAAAAAGAGTGAGTCAAACAGGTCCATACAATTAGTCCATAGACATTTTTCAGAGCATATGAAACACTATGCTGTGGAGCGGCAGAAATACGTGTAATATCATATCAGAATAAGGCAACATTGACCAAGCAGCAGCCGAGGCCGGTAGGTGTATGCCTGCTGATAATCTTCTCGCTCGATGTCGTTTCGGTTTTAAGGGAAGAATTTGGGGAGCGTTATAACATCAAAAAATCACTACCTCCCTATAACCTCCACCACCAATTTTTTTTAACGTCTAAACTTTTTTCAGAAATCAGGATCCTCTGAAATGTCAAAACAGAATGGACGATTTTTATTCTTTTTCATTTTTGGCCTTTTTCTCTGCCGTCACTGGACCGATTTTCAAAAACTATAAATCCGCGCGGTACTTCTCAGGTTATAAAATTAGCGGACAAACAGCCCGACGGGAATGAGTGACATGGTTTTTCGTGGTTTTCGACATCGAAAAAACATCTCATTTTCGAAAATTTTCTTAATTATAATACTTCCATGTCAGTAGTCCTGGGTAGTAAAACAAGTAGACTCGCTCAATTTCGATAAGATTAGTTGTTTTTGAGAAAAACAGTATTGCTTCAGTGCGCCTCCCATTGATTTATACTGGAGACGATCCTCAAAAAATCGATAGAAACCTAAAACTAGATTAAGCGATCTGAAAATCAATAAAGTTTTTCTGGTCGCTAATTATGATTTTATTGTCAGAATTACGATATAGTGTATCCAATAGCAACATTGATAGAACTCGAAATAATATAACACAAAGTGCCATCTACTGTTAGAATCGGCCGCTACAAAAGTCTGGACACAAATGTGGCCGCTTGATGCCGCCTTTCTGGTGCTATAGTAATACGGTCTACTCGCCATAGATCAAACTAGTAATATACAGGGTGCTGCAGCATAACTTTTTTTTTAAATGAGCACCATTCAGTCGGTTGATGTAGCGGAGCGTTTAGTTGTCTCGTTCGAGAGGCGGGACTATAAAGTTTTGTCCCGACACAGTTCAGTCGCCACCATGGGTTGGAACAGGGAGGAGCGTGCTTTTGCTGTTGAGGCCTACTTTTCGAGCGGATGTTCTATGATCGCAGCCCATCGCGCCTTTCGGAATCACACTTGTTACGTGAATCACTACGTTCAGACACACAGCAAGTGCGACAAGACGAATAACTGGAATCCCCCGCCCCATTAGATCCTCTGAAAATGTTGATGCAGTAAGAGGTTCAATGTCGCTGTCGCCACGGCGTTCTGCGCGCAAACATGCGGCAGCACTTGGACTTTCCAGTTCTGGTCTGGTTCTTAATCATCTTCATTTCCATCCTTACAAAATGGCAATTGCGCAGGAACTTTCTGAACGTGACTTCAATTCTCGGATGAACGTATGGATTTTTGTGGATCCGTCAACAAACAAAACATGCACTACTGGACTGACACTAATCCTCGAGAATTGCATCAAAGACTACCTAAAGTGTTGTGCAATTTCCTCAAGTCCCTGGTTATTTGAGGAAAATGAAGTCGCAGTAACAGTGGATTCGGGATTCGGACCGGTATGTAAACATGTTACAGAGATTTTTTTCAATAGCTCAATTAGTTGGACTCAGGGGACATTTGGTTCCAACACACTTCAAGAGCATAATGGCTGTTTTGAGAGAATATTTCCCAGAACGCCTCATCTCAATTAGGCGCGATTTGTAGTGGCCGGCCCGCTCTCCCGATTAGGCTCCTTGTAATTTGTGTTTTTTTTTTGAAATCCCATGTTTATGTGAACCATCCAAGGAACCTGCAAGATTTGAAGTCCAACATCCGAGATGAAATTCTGGAAAGAGTCATGACAAACGCCAGAAATCGGTTTACTCTGTGTACCGAGAGTGGGGAACGTCACCTATCTATATAAAACTTATAAAACAAGACTTTACGAATGAGCCTATATTATACAAAACAAATAAAAATGTTGTGATTCATAAAATTGCTTCTATTAAGTTAAAAATAAGGAAGTTATGATGCCACTTCCTGACTGGTTGGCGCTGTCCGTGGTCGGAGAAACAAAAGTTGCCACAGTGCTGACCCGGCCAATATCGTTAAAAAGTTATTTGAGATAAACAGATTCCCAGCAGCATGTACCTATGTATATATGGTAGCCCTGCAGGATTCTTTATTATAGAAACTTGCAGCATTTTGTATTATATAGCTCCAATAAATTGCCATCTGTCGTGGACATCCATAATCTGCGGTTTAATAAATGTAAATTTAGATTTATTTTCCGCCTTCATTATACTAGGAAAGACAAATATCTGCCAACAAGCCTATATTCTTCAACTCGTTTGAAGAAATGAATTTTGAGTAAACGTTATTTTACTTGCACTGTACTAGCTTTTCAGTGGTTGTTCTTCCATTTCGGTCTTCTGGTTTTCATCCTCGTCATCCGCCGTGGCCCCTTTCGCACATATTGCTGTGAAGCAGGTATCTCCAGCTCCAAACTTTTCACCGTCCTCGATAGTTTGTGGCATCGCTTTATCCAAAGTCTCCGGAAGAAAGGTAACCAAGAACCCAGAAATAAGGGCTATCACTGCGAATATTATCGCAGGCATCTTCGGATCGAAAGAGTCCAGAAGTGTAATCAAAGGTGTGAGAGCGCCTGACGTTCTGGCGCACATCGCACCTAGACCTGCAAACGGAAATCATAGCGTCAAAAATCTTGTCTTATAATCTTATTATATAGTTATCTATTGTATTTTTTAAATCGTTTCATCAGAATATGCTAACCTTACTTCTCCCCGTGATACGTTTACTGACACCATCAAACGGTTTATAAAATATTTAAACACAACAATGGCAAATGGTTTTGTGTAGTATGAATAACAAAATTTCATTTTCATTTGATGTTATTGGTTATTTAGTTAATAATATGATTGCTTTTATTTCGAGGTAAGTGAATTTTGTGTTCGATGGTGTGTGACCGTTTTTGACTGGAGGGAAATATTCGTTGAATCCTTGTCCGTGTCTAACGTGGCAGATGCACATAGGCGTGATTCAGGGACCAAAAAATACCTTGGCAATAGTGCTCAAAATTTGTATATTTGAATAGTGTCACGTTTTAAAAATGATAGGAGTATTATATAGGGTGGCAAAATTGATTACGAAGTCGAAGGTATGCATAATTATTATGATGTGGCATTGCATTACTTACATTACAATACATTAATTATACAGTGAAAACATATAATTCTGGAATTTGAGCCCAAATTTTTTCGCAAACATACTGGATCCGTCATTGAATCGATATTTAATTCGTTTTTAGCGATCTTAAAAATGCTTTAAACTTAATTTTGAGCGTGATCAAAACTTGTTTTGCTATCATAGCTGTCATATTAAGACTGCTATTTAGATTTTTTAACAATCGATATAAAATTCGTTATTAACTACCCTGACAACATCTAAAACTGAATTATTTTTTTTTAAATTGTAATTTATATTAAATTCGTCATTTTGATCATTGGCACATGCATATCATATTCATTATCTGAGACCTGGAAAACGTAGAAATGGACTGTTTTTGTAAAGTAGTGGAACTTTCTAATCTTGGCCATATTTTAGGTATTTTGAATCATTTAGACGTCGATACAATGTGGGCTTAATTATAAATTTTAATGCATGCCAAAGCATAAATGTTTCGCGTGGTCTATTTAACTATTAATCATTATGTTTACCTTTGGAAGATTAATGGAATCGGTACGCAGGAAACCTTCCATTTTATTTATTGTATATCTATAATAATGCACAGCAGTCTATCACAAGATATAAACAATATATTGTAACTGGTCAGCTTGAGCGCTAAGGATGAATGCGATATGCAATGGCCGTCGAGCTGCCCACCGCGTGAGTGCCGTGGCCCAGAAGCTGAACTTATGTCATGTGACGTCACAACCGAAGACGGTCGGCTTCAGCAGTTAACGCATAACATGTCATAACTTCCTTCAATTTTAACTTATCAAAATAATTTTTTTAGATTTTTGAAATATAGCAATTATACTATTATTATTATATGCAAGTGAAACTAGAACTATTTCCAACTCTAAGAAACTTCCTAATAAGCGCAAGGCTTGCCATGCTGTTTTGGATATTATAAATTAATACAAGTCTTAGGATACCTCAACACGTCTTTGAGTAACGTATTCGCAGCTTCTATTTGTTTGTAACTAAGTTCCTTGAATAAAGTTTTTAGAAAGTCAATAGTTGTTTCGGTGGTGGTTTCGCTGGTAGTTACTTACCCATGGCAGAGTTTCTGATGACAGTTGGGAACAATTCAGCAGAATAGTTGTAAACAATTGCGAATGAACTGGCTATTAAAAACTTTCCGGCAAAAACAAAGCCTGTTGAAACTGGACCTTCTGCAAGATTGGCAGCAATGATGCAACAAATGCCGCCAGCTATCATTTCGAACGATGTTAAGGATCTTCTTCCAAGCCTGCAATTAGATAATTCAAATCAGGGCCGGCTTCAAGCGGTAAGAAAGTGAGGCAGTCGCCTCAGGTGCAGTGTCATGGGGGGGGGCAAAATTCTCAATCGAGGGGTGGACGAATCGAGACCAATCATTTTCAGTTATCAAAAAGGCATCAGCGCTTAGAAGCAACTTGTACAACAGATTAATTAAACGGATTAAATCAGTCAAACAGGCCCATACAATTATTCCATAGACATACTTCCCCTGCCTTACCGGTAGTTGCTGTCCATCTGGCAACGTTGTCCCTTTCTATATTTGCACGGGATCTCTGCGACGAGTTACCGTTCATCTCGTGCATGGTCCGTATATATGTTTTTTGCGCTGCAGATTAGCCAGCCGGACCGGTTCGCCTGGCGATGAGATTAGATAGCAGGAGTACGCGGAAACATTTATCTATCATTCTATGTTTATGATGTGTGAAATATGTCTAATAGGTGTGCAGAATTACCGGGGTTGAGAGCGTACAAATGTATTAACATTTTTTCATTTCATTTTTCATATACCTTCCCACAACCTACAACCCCCAACCCCCAAATTTAAACCCCTATATTTTTTTTCTGAAATTAATCAGGACCCTCTGAAGTCATGAATCGAGGTTTGGACGTTTTTAGATTTTTTTCTCAACCACCACTGGACCGACTTTCAAACACTACAAAGCTTTTTTTGTCCTTGGCATAGTAGCAACCATGTGAGAAAATGTTATCAAAATCCGATCTGTTCTTCTTAAGTTATAGACGCACCAAGGATTAGCGGATGAACAGACCGACAGACAGACGGAAAAACGTGACATGGTTTTTCGTGATGCACATGTCATACAACCTCCATAAACATAATCGCGATTACAAAATTCCTCGTCCAAAGGCGGAGGAAGTAAAACCTACCTGTCCATAAGATAAACCGTCACCACATAACTGGGCAATTCTACCAATCCCATGACAAACAGCACCAAATACGGATTGCCCTTCATGCTTCCGGTACTCAACGACAGACCATAGTATACTAGGGAATTTGCAAACCAGCACAACATGATATTCAAGGTCTTGTTCCTGAGGTTTGGCGTTTTGAAGAGATCCAACACTCCCGCTTGGTCATTCTTTGTACGCTGCTCTTTGGCCGCTTTGCCAGTGTAATCCTCGGGAGTAATTGTCACTGAACTCTTGTTCATCTTCAACGCACGGCTGATGATACGCACTGCTTCTGTCGTACGACCATTTGCCCAAAGCCATCTAGTTCGAAAAAAAAAACGATATATGAGCATAACATAATCAGGTATACAGGGTCTGCAGAGAATCACTGAGGTCCCATATTTAATACGTATGATAGAGATAGAGAAAGGAACACGAACAAATTTTTTTTTCTGATAGACCACTTTAAAAATTTTGCTGGTTTGAGTTACATTCAACAACATATATTCCAAAAGCTCGTCAAAAAGTACGAAAGTTAGATCTAACGATGCAATTTTTCACAGTAATAAAAACAAAAAGAAAAATATTTTCTGATAAAGTATTTATTAAAATATTACAAATTTAATAGGAATAAAATTAAACATTAATAACGTAAAACGTTACTTATTTTGCAAAACAAATCAAAAGTGCGCAAAATAGTATGTATGAGATCAGTATGTTTATCGAGTATATCTGCCTGCAGCCAAAATGGTTGATAGCCATTTGTAAGTTTCACCTCAAGCTCCATTTACTGTTAAGCTTGAGCTTGTCTATAAGACCACATTTGCCTTTCCCAATTTATCAAATGGGTTGATGATCTATGAAGATATTTCCATCGTCATAATATCGTCAAATCTGTTATTGAAGTTATCATGCAGGACATTCAAATGTTAATATGGAAACTAATCTCGCCCCCCAACCGATTGACGTTCGTACAATCAGGATCATTTTTTACCGTGGTGACTCGTCCATCAGCCAAAAATGTCCACAAAGTACCAATGCGTGACATCCGTAGATAATTTGCAATAACTGCCTGTCTTTGATTATGGATCCCCAACCTGCTACCAGCATGATTCCCAGAGCAAATGCTGCTTGAAAAGCAACTCCACACATGGATCGTTTACTAGGACCCACCAACTCCATTGTCAAAACGAAACCTAGGAACAATAAAATTAATAAGGAAAATATATGTTTTAAAATATAGGTGTTGTACTTTCATGGAATAATGGATACAAATTATTTTATTTTGATTTCAGATACACTACTCAAAAAATTAAGGGCCAAAAAAATCCAAATTCTTTAGTGATTTTTGACAGGTTGCATTTCAGTGAAAGATGGTCGTACCTAGTGGCAACATAGGAGGCATTGGGATTGGAGGGGATACAACGGAACATGTGATCCGCCTTCAGTACAAGTTTGAGGTCGCTCGAGTCATTTGGTTGACCGTAACGATCTTTTTTGTGAAACCGTTTTTCCTATTGTGTTCTAAAAATGAATGACCAATTTCGAGCAACAGAAGGAATTTATTTTGAGGGTGACAATATAAAATTGTAATTATACACTATGATTCTCGGAATAAAAAAAATTAAAAAATCAATCTCATGACTCAATTTACTCTTATGGTGGAGGTACTCAACAGTATGCAAAGTATCCTTCCTTATGTTACTGTGTCGCGCTCAAGTAAATCCCAAAATATTCTTTTGGGTTCCCCTACTATAAATGATGCTTAATACTACGATACTACAAAGTAAATGTGATATAGTTCTAAAACAGACTTTTAGCTACTTTTCATATTTTTTAAAATCATTAACTAAGTGGGGGTCGAACTTTAGGCATTTCCTCTATACCATTCTGCTGTTTGTACTACGGTTGAAACCAGCAATGATGATATTTCATACTATTCTTGTACCAGTGATGATTCTTTTACCTGGAATATAGCTTCCTGCAGATCCAAAGATTCCGTATAGGTACCTGATAATCAGGAACGATATGTATTCTGGTGTGAAAGCAACGCCAACTCCAAGAATCACCTGAAGTACAGCAGACCAGCAAAATACTGGCTTCCTTCCCACTTTGTCCGCAAGATTTCCTAACCATACCGCTCCTGTGAAGACACCAAACATATACGCTGATTGCGCGACAGCTCCCATCCATCTTTGGTCGCAGACAAACTCCCATTCTATTGCTCTGAAATCGTAATATATTTCTCGTTATGACAATGCAAAAGAATTTGCTTTTGTTATACTATGACCTTTGATTGTTTTTTTTTCATGTTTATTTACCCGCTGCAGCAAAATACCAATGTTTATAATAAATATCGGCTTTGTCCGAAGTGACTAATTTTAGAGTTTTCTTGTTTTCTATATCAAAAGTATGGGTTTAATTTCCACAATTTGTCTGACTGAGAAAACCCTTCAAATAAACGCTGTATACATTGAAAATCCGTTCATGTTAGCAGTATACATTTAAAAATAAAAACTCATATCTTTCAAAATCACTTTGGTAGCTAAATAATCACGCGGATTCTCCTACTAGGCTAATTTTCAAAAAGGCAATGTTTTGTTGATAATAAAATAGAAAAAATTCATATAAATAAAGGTCATTAGAAGACGAATATTGACGGTGAACGACAGAAGTACATTTTTTCAACAGTCTGTCTGGAGGAATATTTTTAATACTTTTCGTCTAATTATTTCAGGGTGTGTATAGATATGACTGAAAAACAATGTTACTAGTTTCTTTTTTGATAAAAAATGCATTTTTCTTCAATCGTGACTTCGAAGAGATGAGCGGTTGATTACTCTTTCTTATCACTTCCTCTCTTCAACATTTTTTCTTTTCTTGGAAACTCAGTTTGTTGCAAAATGACAATAAATCTAATTTAAAAGGACAGTTTTTATTGTGAAATAATCCTTATTTTTTGTCTTATTGCAAATCGATTTATGACTTCTTGCTTATCGACATGTACATATCTTCATAGACAGATGGGCGATCTTCTGCCATAGAGAAAAGGACCTCTTTGCTAACGGTGCACTAACTGGTAATGTAGCAAGGATTCATAAGAACTTTTTCTTGTTGGGATACATTTCGACATCGCAATTTTCAATACAACCAATATTCATGCAAACTTATTGAAGTTGGCGTAGTATTGTCCAAGAGCGATCGGTACTCGATTGCGAATTGCTTAGCGGTTTCTAGATCTTCACTTGTATTGGTGATTCTCGGAATAAAAATACCTAACATATATAAATTAAGCGTCTCTACGGATATTCGCTCCTGACGATCAGTGGTCACAGCCCTCCGAAAATGCTGTTCTGTCGACTGAGCAGGTACCATCTCCTTTCAATTAAATGATTTTGTCCGTCAAAAAGTATTTCTGTCAGGTTTCCTGCAACAGAGCCATATCTATACTCTCATCCAAAAGTACTTGATGAAATTCCCGTTTTTTGGGAATATCCCTAAGACCCAAACAATTCCAGAAAAGAATTTTGATGAATGCAGGCTGTCTACTATTGCACCTAGCCATTTATCGGAAAGATCGCGAGCAAGGCCTGTGTAGCGTTTATCAGGGGACTAATTATCTGCTGCAAGGAGCTGAGCGCTGTTGCCAGGTCCACGTTTTTAGCAGTCGTAGGTGAGCTCGGGACAGCAGGGGCATCTATAATTTCAACCTTTGCTGCGTCTGCGTATGATTTTACTCGCCTTTGTGCGATGATCTGTAGATTTATCTTAGGAGTGAATCTCCAGGTAAAACTGTTGGCCGGATGGTCCACTCCACAGTTCGCACATTTGCGCACCCCTTGTCCTGTTTGAGGGCACAGATGTGTCATGTGGTCTTGAGCACATTTGAGACACTTTGGAGGTGCAGTGCAATACGATTGCGCATGTCCATACTTCTCACAGCGGTGACAGTGCCCAATGAGTCGAGAGTTCTTTTGAACCTCAACTCTGATAGATCCCCAGCAGTTCATGTTCGTAGAACACCAGCTGTGACTTCTCTGTCTTAGGCAGGATTACCACCACCAAAGGCATGGGCACGCCGCCGTTGCGCTTCAAGCGGATTACGTGGAGGGGAGGTATATCCCTTCTGTTCGAGCTCCTCTTTGATTTCCTGCTCAGCAGTTGACGCTGGGATTCCTCTAATGACAGCGAGAATGTTACGCTCAGAAGGCAGGGGAAATGTATGGTGAGGAAGATTTTCCTCTTTGAAAAAACGAATTATCTTCCGATAATCGTCTTTGTTTTAAGGTACGATGCGTATCCCAGCATCAACAGCTTCTGCTCGATCAATCTTAATACCAAGACTGATAAAAGAATAGTTGGCAGTGCGCCACTTTGCCGCATCCCGCAGCACAACAGGTGTAACACACCCCTGACGGGGTGATTGTGCCTGCGTGCCGCATCCCGAGGGTAGCGTTTGATGACGGAGATGTAGTGTTGCTGCCAGCCAAGGAAGCCCCTTGTGAGATTGAAATAGAGTTGCGACTTTTGTTTAAGCTAGGTGCTTGCATTTGAGAGGGCTTTGGCTGGCTTGCAGAATCAGCAGGAGAAACAGACACAGGTGGTGTTATGTCCATTGAATTGATTGGCGATTTTTTATTCGGAAGGAATGATATTAATTTGTTAATTTTACGAATCTGTCGTTTTTTACGTCTCTGGATAGCGGTAAAATCACTACCCTGTAAGTCGTCTACGACTCTTGATTTGAGCTGCCTGGTCAGCGATGATTTGGTACAGCCTCTCCTTTTCGGTGTCTTTTTCAATATCTGCAGCTGTCAAAGCCTCACTAGGGTTCGTATTCTCCAATCTCTCAGGTACGCCGCTTCATACTTCTTCTCCACTCGCTGTGATGGAGGGGTCGCCTGGTGACCCCTCAAACGTACGTTCCATCTTATATTCGCCTTTTCTCTCAGCAAACCCACAAAATTTTCGAGCAAAAATCTGACTTTTCCCTGTCTACAGGGCGATAAATAAATACATAAATAACCTGAGCGACGTTAATCGTGCCTCTCAAAACTATCAAATGTCAACTTCACTTCGCTTTTTACGTTACCTGGAAGATCCGTAATAGGTGTGATCAAACACCCATGAGTCGCATTTGTACGTGGCATTTGTAGTGGTGTTTATCAGTGAACAGCTGTCAAACCTTCCAGATTGAAGACGTGGAATGTGCACACCCAAACTTGTCTCGTTTAGTTGTGTGTATGTTTTGTTCACGTCGTGCTCCAAGATTTCACACCTAGAAGGCAACAAATATTTATATATGTTTGCAAAAAACTCATAGCTCAACTGAAGTTTGGGACGTATGTGTCATAAACTAAGGAAAGAGATACTACACTCGTGTTCAAAATAAGCAACCTTTCTGTTGGAACTGTATCCCCGTTCGCATTGTCAGCCAGGTCACCCATGTGGGTGTGTAGATGCTACCAACGAGCTGGTGCACCAGAATCCACTGAAAGATTTTTCGTCCTTGGGATAGTAGCAACCTTATGTTAAAATTTCATCCAAATCCCAGCAGTACTTTCCAAGTTATAGATGGGCCAAGGATTAGCGGACAGACCAATATACAGGCAGACCGACAGACAGACTTACGGGCAGACGAAAATGAATGACATGGTTTTTCGTGATTTACATGTCATTTAACATCCAAAAATTTTCGTCAAATTCGGAACGTCATAACTTTCTTGCTTTTACCTATATTTTATTGATTTCTTCGGCAGGCGGAAGGTACTCATTAGCATCAATGTGAAGTTATGAGTTTTTGCTTGTAGCCACGGTTTGACTTGTTGTACAGAGTAAATCAAAATGATGTTTCATTATTCCAACTTTGCGTCACTGTGGTGTAAATCCAGTTGCAGTCAGACTGCAATTTTCATTATTCGCGTCAATATATACAATGGTTGAAGTTCTAGAGGCCAATTGACACTTTACCACCCTTTTTCCTTCCTGCTTTTATAACTTTTTTAATTCCAGTACGCATTCAACAAAAATTTCACCAAATTGTATAGATATCTGTTGCCTTTCTGCGTTAGGTTGATATTCTTTTAAATCGCCATTGATACCGTTTATCTACAGTGGTGAAGAAAATGAAAAAGAACATGCTGTATAATAATTTCACACTCTACCCTTTGGAATATCGTTTCTGGAATACTATCTCCCTTACCTTCCAATTATTTTCCTGAAAATTTTAGCGAGGATTGTTCTTTTGGAACAAAATGAATGCCATCACACCAATTTACAAATTTTAATCAGTATTGTACTCTTCAGACGGGCAAAATTAGTCATTTTTGAGTGGAATATTGCTCCTAGATAATATTTCCTTCACTGTAGGAGCATAATTTAGACATATTTTGAATCATACTGAGCAGCACATTGCATACTGGAGGTGATTGATAACCAACTTGAAACATATTTAGGTAAACGCAACCAGAAACGAACAATAGGATTTACCGCTCTCCTATGAACTTCCCGAGATGCTTTGCATCCCGTAGTGACAACGCGAGTGTTCGCCGAGGTTCGGCTCCAATATTGTTTCTGTCCTCACGGACGACAGCACTTTGCATGCGGGCATTCAGAATGTCTAGAGAAGAAAACTGGTAGCGATGCAATTATGACTTCCTCTTTAACTTAAAATTCGAAGCTTATCACTGATATGCTTATTAAAGCGACAGTTTTACGGGTTTTAATCATAATATCCTCTTCTGGTTGCGTTTGTCTAAACGTTATATTACAAGTTGGTTATCCATCACCTTCAGTATGCAATTCGAAAATGAACCACTCTGTATAATGGAAAATAAGTTTAAATCGTGCACCCACAGATGTAATGAAGAAAAAAACATTATCTGGGAGCAATATTCGACCCGAGAACGACTAGAAGGTGTCTATCTGAAGAATATAATACTGATTAAATTCTGTGAATTGTTGTGTTACATTCATTCTGAAAAGAAAAATACTTGTTCGAATTTTCATGAACCCAAAATTAGAAGATGAAGGAGATATGGTTATTGCCCTGACACTGTACTTCGCCACTGTAAATGAATGGAGGCAATGACGATATAAAAATTTGCGAACCTATAGATACATTTCTGTACAAATTGGTGATATTTCTAACGGGAATTGAAAAAGTTATGAAACGAAGAAGCAAAATATTCATTTGCCTGTAAAACTTCAACCACTGTATATATTGATATAAATAGAAAATGTGGTTCTTGATAATGGAAAGCATTGCGGTCTGACTGGCAATTGGATTTACAACCACAGAGTGACTCAAAGTTGGGGTAATGAAATATCATTTTGATTTACCCTGTACAGAAAGTCAAACAATGACTACAATTAAGAACTCATATATATGAAATCGGGTAAAAAATAAAAAAGCTATGACGTTAAGAGTTTGACCAATATTTTGCTTGTTGCGTTTATTTTGAACCTGAGAGTGTACGTTCTGCCTGTCTGCTAATCCTTGGCCAGTCTATAATTTGGAAAGTATTGGTAGAATTTGGATGAAATTTTCACATAAGGTTGCTACTATACCAAGGACGAAAAATTCGGTGGATTCTGGCTCACCAGAATCGGTAGCATCTAGACACCCGCAGTGGTGACCCGGCTGACAATGCGAACAGGGATACAGTTCCAACAGAAAGGATTCTGTTTTCACTTTCGCTGTAGTCCATTCTGGTAATAGATGGCACTTTGTGCGGTCTTATATATCGATATACTTACCTATGTTCTGGTACTGCGGCTACCGTAACCAAAGAAAGCATGTTTAGACCTGCTGTGATAGCCGATAGAATGTGTAATGTAAACTGCCATGCCTGGTATTTCCCGAAGTCCCCTAGAAAATCAAAACATATGCATTGAAGAGATGGAAGCAAAGACTGTATAAAATGAAGAGTAGAAGATGGCTATGGCAGATACATGTTTAAGATGTTGGATTAAAGGAGCCCACACAGTTTTGATGAAAGTAGATCTACCAGTGCAATATTTGAGATTTGCTGAAAATAAGACATAGCTATGCTAACGCCAAAATCCTGTATACATCTGCATAGTTTAATATTTTTGTGCTCCTATAGAATAAGCTTTTCTGTGAAAACTTCTCCAGTGTCGTTTGTATTTTACCGTTCGGCCGACTCTATCTAACATACCAATGCCCATTTTTCGCCAATTTCGTCACACTTTCGTGTTTGATAACTCAAAAAGTAGCCAAAAACAGACATTGTATCCATGAATCTGTATAAATGGTGGGTCACATGATACCTCCTTTTGAAGCCATTTATGTGTTTCAGATACTTTACAACCTTAGTATATAAAATCCGTAACTTTCAAAATGGTGGATTAGCAAACTGTCAAATTTGGGTTGATGTACATTGGATCGCTTATAACCCAAAAAATTATCTTCATATACTTCTTATCCTGGAACAGTCTATTCCAAGATGTGATAAAGTAAAATATGGATAATTCCATTTAGAAAAAGATTGTCAAATAATCAAAAACTCATATATGACTTCGAAGTTGAGTCATTTATTTTAACAGTTAGTAGATCTGATCAAAAGAAATGTTTTTTCCTTTACCATTTTTCTGGTAAAATTAAAGTAACAAAGTTATAGCCCTTTGGAAGTTTGAGTACCGCCCTGTCTCAATAATAATATTATGTGCTCGTGTTTGGCAACAACGGATATAATCCGCCTTATCGGTTCATCGCATCGGAAACAAAAAAGCGAAAGAATTTGGAACGATGTTTTTACAATTATTTTATTCAGTTGTATACAGTCAGTGTCAGTCGGTAACGCGTGAGTGAATAGTGGTGTCTGTTGCGTGGCTCAAACGAAATCAAAAATGGCACATGTTTACGAAAATGCTGAACTTGTGGACATGATTCTTATTTACGCGGCATCACGGATTTATGCGGATCGGTTTCCCAATCGAGTGCAACCAACCCCTCGTGCCTTTGTTAATGTAGTACAAAGGGCTCGTGAATCAGATGACTTAAGAACTCACAGGGGAGGGCATGCCGGTGCTCCAAGACCGCACGATCAAATACAGGTCCGCACTGAAATACTTGTCGGGAGGATACTTTATAAAACAAGGTAAACATTTTTTTTTAATTTGTTTTTTATTTTTACACACATATTTTGGTTTATCTTCCTTCTACAATCATTATCTGAAAATTAATGACTCAACTTCAAAGTATATTATTGGACATTCAGATATAAACAGGAGAATTTTACCCAAATTCAAATCTCTATATTTTCGGAACGGAAAGAGATATCGAGTTGTGGTATTGGATGAGCAAAGAATGTCATGTTTTTAGCATAGTTAATTTCTCAAATTTTTCGAAACTTGGATACAACTCAAATTATCGAATTTTAAAAAAGTGTTGCATGTATCCCTAAAAAGGGTCTTTTTTGGCGTTTCTCTTGAGAATGGGTATTTTTTCTCATACTGTTGCATAAAGTGGAATTTCTTGAGCCCGAGAAAAGACTGAAGCACTTATTGAACGTTATTGCCAAAAATTTACTACTTTGACATTATGTAATTTAAACCGAAGTTATAAATTTTACTATGCAATTAAACAGCTTAATGAACAAGTCCAAGTTACTACTCTTAACAGGGGTGTATTCTAGTGGCGTAACACCAAACGCATTTTTTGGTTGAGTAAGAAGTGCTAATAACTTTTTCAAAATGCTATGATGCTAGCCAACACTGCTAATCAAATTTCAATGCGTGGCATCCTGGCCATAACGTTTGTATCTGCATATAATGCATACTTACGCATATCATTCATGTTTTTGAAATGCAAACGATACTCGTTGAATGTAAATTGAAGTGATTAGCATTTATAAATTGATTGAAATTACACAATCATTCTTGACCGTCTTTCATTCTGATTGTCGGAAGTAATTTTTAAATTTTACGGAAGTATACAGCGTAAACGATTTTCAACAAGCCAGTAACTAATCTACATTTATTTTTCAATCGAAAAATGATTTAGATTATTATTATTTGTTTAGCTATGTATGGATGGACTGACTCAAATCTAAATCAATCCAGGATTGACAAAATCACTCCCATTATTTTGACTCAAGTCACACGCAACGCCGTCATCAGGAAGCACACAGCACACGTTACACCATTTTAGCAACTCCACAGTACACCTAGACCTTGATAAGCGTTAGGATCGCTGACTCATGGATAAACGACGTCGCAAAAATTGAATTGCAAAGACGTTAATATTAACGGGGCTCCTACAATCATGAGCATCATCTGCTGAAGTAACGGGGGGTGAAAAGGAAACGATTGTGGGCTGGTCTTAGACGGTGGTCGGCGCTAAAAGAGGAACGGATGACTGCGGGTGCCTACCGAGGTAAATTTTTATAACAGAGTCGGATTTCGATTAGCGATCTAGCCTGTAAATCGTTTCCTATTTTGGTACTCAGCTAGTGATCATTTAGTATTGTTCTACCCTTGTTACTGTTCGTCGATATTCTGTTGTTGAATTGTTGTGTTGTACTCTTGTTGGTGTGATTGTTCTTGAGGGATTTTTTATCAAGGTTGATAATGAACAATAAAAGGTCATATGCGACAATTTTAATTACGAATTCAGGAGTTTAATTCATGATGAGGTCAACAATAGTGTGGAGCAAAATACATTGGGGTAAGCGAATAAATTATTGCAAGAAAAGGTCATACCATGGAAGATGTGCTGCAGCTGTAGTGAGCCACAATACCGAGCCGCCTGTCTATGTGTTCCAAATACATTTGCGTTCTAAGCTTAGTCCAACCTCGCTTATCACTAAGATGGAACAAAGACTCAAACGCAAGAATATTGGAAAGAAACTCAGACCAAAAAAAGTTGATATAAAAATAACTAACAATTCGGATAGCAATTCCAAAGAAAATATATAATAGTTTTATGGCGAATTCTGTCAAAAACCTGACATGAACGTACATTGATTTGGAGGTTGCTAAGCAACAATTTTTAGGGAAACTTAGAAAAAGTAACGACGAGATTTTACATATCGAACAAGTCACCAAATCACAGGACTGTGCTTTGTGGCGTCTTCATCGGAGGATATGGTTGACAGCGTCTCGATTTGGTGAAGTTTGTAGAACAAGGCAGACAAGAAGCTATAAAGTTCTAGTAAACTTCTTCATATACCCAACAGAGTTTTCTAGTAAGGCAATACAAAAATCATTGAACACGGCAGTTCAATCTTGTGGTTTGTTTATTGACCGCACACATCCATTTCTGGCAGCATCACCTCCATCTACCTATTACAGTAGACAAGACATGTACTTAATCCAGGTATAAGCCTACCTGTTTATTGCTTTGCAAAAACTGCCTAACTGTTTCCTCTTATTTTGACAGCATAACATATTTTTATTATTATTCGTTCAATTGTTACCATCTACCACACGACCCTTGTAAACATAATTGTGTTTATTGACATGAATAAACGAATTAGAATTTGAGTTCTTGAATTTATTTTAGGAAAGATATAAAATTATTTGAATACATTTTTTCTTAGTCGGAACGCACCGTCGCGTCGCTTGGACTGGTAGGACGAAACAGTAGATGAATTTCGCCCAAAAACCGATTTGCACTTCACTGCTTACTTTTTATTATTTCCAAATGAAACTCTTGCATCGTGCTAGAAACAAAGTCCACAGCGTGCCAGCGATCCACTTTTTCGATTTTATCCACCAGGATCTTTTTAAAATATCAAGTAGTTGAGCACAAATAGTGAGCATTTCAACCCACCATAATTCTTGCGCAATGACAAAATTTTGTAAAAAGCTCTGATAGCACCCTAGGCAAGTATGGCCTGCTTATATCCAGAAAAACATCACAAACTGCAGAACACAAAAGGTAACGGCGAAATGAGTAAATTTGACCGGTTATGAAATTCAAATGAAAATGTAGGTATAAAATCTACCAAATGATCGTCCTCCAAAACATATTTCCTTGACATATCGATAATTTTAAAGTTCCACGCTAAATTCCCCTATACTTGACTGGAGTGATATCCGAATTTATTCTTCCCTACTGTCGGTAGTTGCAGATCTGTTGGCTGTTGGTGTCAAACCTATAGAGCAGGTACCGATTTTTTGAAATCGTGAGCACATTATTCGTGGGATTTTCGATACTTAAAGTTCCTGTAATCGCTGGGATCAGAAGCTTCTTAGTAATAGAACGTGTTTCACTGATTTCAACCCCCCCTTCTTAAGCAGTACAATTTTTTATGTGAATGATTAGGAACCCCGGAAACGTCAAAAACGGAGTTTCAGCAATTGTTACTTTTTCTTTTTTGCCTATAGCACCGTTGCCACTGGACTAAAACTACAAATCTTTGGCATACTAGTAACCGCGTGTGGAAATTACATAAAAATCCGAGCGGTAATTTCCAAGTTGATGATGAGTGATACAGTTTTTCGTGATGTAGATGTCATATGACTTAAAAAAACATAACATCTCATTTTAGAAATTTTTCGCGATTACAATACTTCCTCGCCAATGACGTAAAAAGTACAACGGCTTTAAAATCGAGGAGTATCAGCGATCGCGATTATGAGTACCTATTTGCAGAACGACTTATCTACGCGATATTATATGAAATAGGGCCACCAAATTATCAGAGTACGTCCTTTCTTAGTCCGTACATTGCGCCGCAATGCTTGGTTTGGCAGCATGAAACAGTAGACAAAATTCGTCCAAAATACGATTTGTAGAGGTTTGCGCGTTTCCAAATTGAAGCTTTATTTTTTGATATTTTTGGATGAAATTTTCACAGAGTGCTGAAAACAAAACCCCACAGGGTGCTTGCTATACAGCCACTTTT